GGTAGTCAGAAGTTTAGCTTACCTCAAGATAATTCAGAAAGGGTTTACTGGTTTCAAAGCTTAACCTCATAATTAAAATTACCTGTAAAAATATCTACTGTAAACAAAATCCTCATTTTGAAAATAACGATGTTTGAAAAGATTGCGTGAAGGGTTTTTGGTAGAGATTTCAATGCCATTAGTTGAATGTATGAAGAATATGACTTGCAATGGATTTTACCACACTTTCTTTTCTGTTTCAAGCCAGAGTTCATATCTATGAAAAATAAATCTATGCCTTTACTAGGGGGAAAAAATCACTGCTAGATCATCTGTGTTCCAAGCAAAACATGTAATCACAAGTTTATCAATAAAAGCTTTTTCCACTAAAAGTTTAATTCCCTGGCTATTCACCATTCTGCAAGTTTATTTCCATATTAAAACAAGCAAAAGATTTGGGAATAAAACAACCTTTTTATTAAACACAAACTTCTATTCTTAAATACTGCCCAAGTATTGTGGTGCAATATGTTTCTCCAATTAGAGTTCATCTGGAATTCAAATACCTTCTTTCTTTTAAGTAATTAATGCAGTTCATGCTCCAAAAGGAGATAGTATTAATATTTAACCAGTTAATCCCAAAGGAAGAGAGCAAAAAACAAGTTGATAGAAAGCATACTTAGTAATCAAAAATTAGAATATTATAATGAATCTTGCTTTTATTCTCTCTGCCTCCATGAAAAGTTCACTCAGACACACAATGGCTTGAGAAACAAAACAATATATTTGGGGACTGTTGTTTACAACCTTCAGGTTCAGGCAAACCTATGCCTGTCTAACAAGAAACAAAATTACAGTTAACTTCCAAGATTAAACACCCAGGCTTACAACAATTAATTAGGCATTAGTTTATATGCTAGATTCATGAGCCCACATGCCTAGTAAACATTAACAGGACAGGATAGTGGGCACATCTTGGCAATTAGTCATGGAATCACAGAAGCACATCTGCTGAGCAGAACCACTGCTGCTGAAGATCCAACATCCATACCAATCCTTCATCAACATGTACTTTGATCTGGCTCTAGTCTGACCAATAGCCTCAGCCCCTCCTTAGCAGCTGGAAAGGTTAGAAATTAAAATATCCAGCAAGTGCTCCCCCATCATTATTCATTTATACCCAGCCTTATTACCCAGAATATCTGGTAACTGGGGAGGAAGATAGGATCAGTACCAGCAAATGAGTATCCTCGTAAGTGCAATGGCACAGCATGTTGTCCTTTGTGGTGAAGCTCACTTTCTTTATGTACTACCCTGCCTGCACTGCTGAAAACTCCTGTGCTTAGCATGTAGTTTATGTATCAATTTCCAGAGACCACATTTGGGACACCAGGTGAGGACATCAAGATTAAAGAAAATGAGACAAAGATTTGGGAAGAAAGGTTGCGACTTCACAGAATCACAGAATTTCTAGGTTGGAAGAGACTTCAAGATCATCGAGTCCAACCTCTAACCTAACACTAACAGTCCCCACTAAACCATATCCCTAAGCTCTACATCTAAATGTCTTTTGAAGACTTCCAGGGATGGTGACTCCACCACCTCCCTGGGCAGCCTGTTCCAATGCCTCACAACCCTTTCAGTAAAGAAGTTCTTCCTAACATCTAACCTAAAATTCCCCTGGTGCAACTTTAGCCCATTCCCCCTCGTCCTGTCACCAGGCATGTGGGAGAACAGGCCAACCCCCACCTCACTACAGCCTCCTTTAAAGTATCTGTAGAGAGCAATAAGGTCGCCCCGGAGCCTCCTCTTCTCCAGGCTGAACAAGCCCAGCTCCTTCAGCTGCTCCTCGTAGGACTTGTTCTCCAGGCCCCTCACCAGCTTCGTCGCCCTTCTTTGGACCTGCTCAAGCACCTCGATGTCCTTCTTGTAGCGAGGGGCCCAAAACTGAACACAGTACTCGAGGTGCGGCCTCACCAGAGCCGAGCACAGGGGGACGATCACCTCCCTAGCCCTGCTGGTCACACTGTTTCTGATACAAGCCAGGATGCCGTTGGCCTTCTTGGCCACCTGAGCACACTGCTGGCTCATATTCAGCCAACTGTCCACCATCACTCCCAGGTCCTTCTCTGCCTGGCAGCTCTCCAACCACTCATCTCCCAGCCTGTAGCTCTGCTTGGGGTTATTGCGCCCCAGGTGCAGGACCCAGCACTTGGCCTTGTTAAACTTCAGTTGACCTCAGCCCATCGGTGCAGCCTATCCAGATCCTCCTGCAGAGCCTTCCTACCCTCGAGCAGATCGACACACGCACCTAACTTGGTGTCATCTGCAAAATTACTGAGGGTGCACTCAATGCCCTCGTCCAGATCATTGATGAAGATGTTAAAGAGGACCAGCCCCAGCACCGAGCCCTGGGGGACACCACTAGTGACTGGCCTCCAACTGGACTTGACTCCATTTACCACAACTCTTTGGGCCCGGCTATCCAGCCAGTTTCTAACCCAACGAAGCGTGCGCCAGTCCAAGCCACGAGCAGACAGTTTCTTGAGGAGAATGCTGTGGGAGACGGTGTCAAAAGCCTTGCTGAAGTCAAGGTAGACCATATCCACAGCCTTTCCCTCGTCCACCCAGCGCGTCACTTTGTCATAGACAAAGTCATTTGACTTGTTGCTGTGGTCAGTCTTGTTCTTTATCTGAGCTCCCAGAAAACACCTAACTTGAGCCATAAGCTAGGACTACCTGTTGAGCTTTTGACTAGCAGTTACTCTTTTTTTCACACTGACAATTTCCAAATACTTTACAGGGTAATCTTTCTGATTCGTTTTAGACAAAGAAATTACCAGATATAATCACGTTCATTAATCTTCAGTGTCCTACATATAGGTCACTAGAGCAGAAATGACTAAAAAGTGGTACTGGTAGATAGCCTCCAATTTCAAACAATAAACATTTATTTCTCCATGATTTTTCCTCTTTCAAATACTATATAGTAAAATTAATTTTATGACAACTATGCAACAATATGCACCCAAGATTCAGCTACAAAGCCAACAGCTACAAAAACAACATGTATATTTTCCTGAAAGAGCTCTGCCAGCAATAGAGATTTAGACTGCCATTATTTAAAGAAAACTGGAAAAGCTGTTCACAATCTCTCTCTTATTATAAGCAACAAGAGAGATGGAACAGCCTAAATACACCAGGAGATTGCTTCTTTTCACTGTACAGACCTCGTGCTGTTCAGTTTAAAGCTAGTTTGTGTTTCAATAAAAAACTTTTTTTTTTTTACACATTTATGCTGTCTCAATCTTTTTCTTCTTTTTAACTGTCATCCCTTGAAATTCATACATGTGAATATATCTTTTCTGAGGAGTATGTCTGTACTGCAGACTGTGCCTTTTTTAAGGAAAGACTGTTATTATTTGCAAATACCTTCAAGAAACCAACAGGTGATGATTTCATCTACTTTTGACTTTCAATTGTGTAAATTTGTTCATATTTGTTCATAAACAAAATCACAGATCTTTCAGAGCGTAGTGAAATTTAAAGGCAAAATGTCTTAGAAACACGGGGAGTCAAACCAGTAAAAGGAAAAAATACTTAATATAAATAACAGATTAAATTCAGATTAAACTCTTATTGCTAAAGTTAGGTTTTGAAGTTCACAGTAAACATTCAGTTGATTTCAAAGGGGCAAACAGTTGACACCCTGATACCAAATAAAAATTCTCAGAGCTATTTTCATGAAAAAACAACATACAATATGAAAAGTAGCAGAAGTTCACATAAAAAGAGGAAAAGAAATCTACAGTTTGCTTTTTTGTCTACAACATATAGCACTTTAAAAATTATTCACCCTGCACTACATCTTGCCTGATAGCTTTTTCTTAATAAAGCTTTATAAATTAGCTGGACTTGAAGATCAATATTTCATTATCAAACATTAAGTACAAAATTTTCAGTTTCATGACATTTCAAAAAAAAAAATCTAGAAGTTCTGTAGAAAGTTACATACAGAAAAAAAATTACATTATTCAAATCAGAACGCAGATTTGAAGACAAGATTTTCCTAAATACATGGATTATACTAATAGCTATCTGAATAGCAACTGCACTGTGAATAGGGTTACATAAAATCAATTCTGTAGCTGAAGTAATGTCTGGCATACTAAAGGTGACACAGAAGATGTATCAATAATTTGCAAAATTAGCTTCTTTAGAAGAGTGAAATACCCATCGCTGACTGTATTTTTAAGTTTATAAGCTCCAAACTTTATGAACACCAAATTTCATTAAATCCCCCTGATGCATCTAAAAACTATTGCTTATGGAGAACAATAGAGGTATACTTTCCATCTTCCTGGATACAGCAGTGAGTCTGGAATTGAAGGCACAAACAATTGCATGTATCTGCCATCTCCCTGCAAACTGTGCACCAAATTATAAGAATACAGTTAACTTTCAAATAGCATTCAGGCTGAGTTACTACCTTGCCTCACTGCACCTCAGGTTTTGAGAGGAAAAGATGAAGACAGAAAGGACTATTTAGCAACATCCAGTTCCACCTGCAACGTGTACGGCTGGACTTGATGATCTTGAAGGTCTTTTCCAACATAGATGATTCTATAATTCTATATACTAAGAACTAGAACTTCAAATTAATTTGAGAGATATTTATTGTGACATTTTCACCCTATAAAGCCTACAAGCACTTTATTGTTGCTTTTGACTAGGCTTTAGAGGGATCTACAGGCTGTATATAATTAGTAAAAACAACATTTTCCACATAAACTGTTACAAAGAGCAAAAGTATTTATGATAGTTTATGAGGTAATGTTATTTTCATGTGACTACTTATTCGTGCATAGCTGTAACATGCAAACAAGAAATCAGTGCAGAATGACAGCTTCAGGGACTTCTGGCTATTTCATGGATGTAATGAGACAAATTATGCCTTGAGTAAATTGCTTGAGCTGCATTAATTTCTCAATATAAAATGAACAGCCAAAATGCATGAGGAGTTATCTGCTATAGATAACATTTTATTATTAGTTTGTAATTTAACTCCTTCAATGTACAGTTTATTGCTTTTTTTTTTTTAGAAGGAATTATTTGTTTTTATAATCAATGGCATGTTGATTAATAACATTAGCATATATAAACATTTTCCAACACTTCCACAAAATTTGACATTTGGGATTTCTATATAACCATTCAAAGTGGACATGGAAACAACACCAACTCTCAGCACTTCATTGCTGACATTTCACTTTTTCTTTTCAATGAAAATGAGTTTAAAGAATAAATTACATTCACTTCATATACTATATTATATACATATTTACTTTTATTATTATACTTTATTAAATTATATATATGATACATTATATTATACTTTATACTTTTTACTATTTATTATATATTATGTTTTAGCCCTTTATTACCAAGAGTAGCTTAGTTAGACTGCATGGCAGAAGATGTGCTCAACTGCAGCAGAAGATTGTGAGCTCAGATTCACAATTACTAAATACAGAGAAAAGTTATCCAACTTATACTCTCCTCCCTAAAATTATGCTTCTCAAAATAATATTCTCATAACCTCATTTGATCAATGGGATTTATAACATTTAACCATCTGCTTACAAAGCTTAATTATGATTTATCTTTACTAACTCAAATTTTCTGTGTTTACAAGACTTCATAGTCAGGCCCCATATTTTTGTTCAATTTCATTTTCAAGGATACTCATTATGTGTTATTTGGCTAAAATATAAATTTCATATGTATATATATATGTATCTAATCAGGATCACTGACTGCAATAATTCTTGAAAACAGTGTTTTCCAAATAAATGAGCAATTATCAGTCTTGCTTAGAATCCAGCACAGGAAAAACTGAAAAAGAATATAGTTCTGAGTAAAAACAAAACATTGTTCTTGATTAAACACAGAGTGAACAGGAAGGTAAATGCAGACATAGTAGATACGTTAAAAGAGACAGTTCATTTTTAATAATCTGAGATTTATTAGTAAAACACCATCAGTTAAAATAAATATTTATGTACAGTATAATTTGAAATCCTAACATCTAAAATTAATTTAGTTTATTGATTAGGTTTTAGGCACACATTTTCATCCAAACTGTGACTTTACAATAGTATCTGCTGATTTCGAACACCTTAAATATATCTATGTTGCCATGTTGAAAAAAAAAATAAAAGACAAGACAAAGGGGGAACTTCACAGGATCTCAGCAAGGCATTTAGCATATGCAAAGATTACTAAAGCACTTAGTCACATACTACAGCCTCCAGTGTAAGATTACATATTACTCAAATATCTGAATAGTAACCAAAATTAACATTTGTTTCTTCTTATGCAGCTGCTATTGTGATAACATGGCATCTGAATAAAGCAGCAGATTCCTGTTTTAGGCATTTCTACTATACTTAATCATTTCAGAAATACCTAGGCAGTATGTATTTTTACCAAAAATTAAAGTCTTTTTCATTTTAAGGTCATAGTTCTAATGTCCCAGAGGAATATTTTTTTCTTGAATGCAGGTTTTCCAGAAGTAGGGTGGCTTATTCCCAGCTTTGTCTACAGAAAAAAATAAATACAGCCGAACAGTATAAATGCCTAAGGCTTCAGGTTTTCCACAGCTCTCAGTGTGGTTGAACACATGAGAACAAGAAAAGACCATGGAACTGCAGTGTCTTGCTGAGTAGTTTTCCATCAAGTATATAAACCTTTCTTAAAGAAAAGGAGATAAAATAGGCCTTTTTTGTTGTTGCATGTCTAGCACTTCAAAATATTGATATCTAAGCACATTAATTTTCATAAAATGTGTGTATACATCTCCTTGACACAATCTTCTCATTGATTTCTACATGTAGTTTGTTTTAAGTGTGCAGTTGTCAAAATCTTGGGTTTATCTTCATATTTGTTAAAAACCTTCTTTTGCAATAGAATTTTTCTGATACGAATACTTATACAGAGCACCCTAGATTTATAACAATAAAAGTATTAGTATTCTGATGTGTTTGAAAGTCATTTTGTACTTTTGAATAGGGATTGACACACAATTCTCATTCCAGTCGTCCTTGCTTAGCATCTCCTATTGCTCCCCATACATCAAAGACAAACTCATCTGGAAATGCAAAGTCTCCGAGAGTTTCATCCAATGCCACTGCAAATTCATCTGGGTTTTTCTTGTCTCTTCCAGCTTCCACCATTGTTGCAGCTAAAAACAAACAAACAAACATTAAAATTATCATGGAAGTGACAGCTAACATTCAGCCAAGATAATTTTCAAATGTTTATTTTCAAAACCCAGTAAAGATAAGGGGATTTAAAGCTTACCTTCCAAATTTAGGATTCCATAGGATATACATACTTAAATCCGCCTGCAGTAGCTACATTCTGTCCCACTAAATGGCAGAGCTTCCTTGGAGTGTACATTATATATTCTTCCATTTGCTTGGGGGGTGTTTAATTTGTAGTTCAACCAACCTTCATTCTTAACTTGCTAAATTACTTTCAGCCTTCTTTACTGAAGGCACACAAAGCATGAGCCTAGAAGAGTGTGTTACCAACTTCTGTGAGTCTGATTTGAGCTTACTGATCAAAAGGCATACCTGAATGTTGTGTTTTTGTTTTTATTTTTTTCTTTTCTTGGTTCAACTGTGTGTTGTTTTGGTTTGTTGGTTTGTTTGTTTTTGTTTTTCCATGGTTCAAACTCTACAAAAGCATGGGAAAAGCCTTGCTGCTGTATCTCTGCTCTACAGTCTCTATTCATATTCACAAGAAAAGATAGTATTGTACAATAGATGAAACCCTCAAAGTCTGCTTCATTTTGTTATCTTATACACCTGCCTTAAAGTGCAAGATGTTTAAAACTTGAAAGATTTGATTGCTTCTAGCCTTTTTTTAGAGGAATATCTGAGTGAAAAACATGTATTACAGTGCCTGAGAAAGGAAAATCCTGAAGCCACAGAAGGCCATCTTCATTAGGACAATCTAGTCTACTATGTACCGCATACATTGTGTGGTATTGAAATGGCAAAATCTCACTAATAAATACAAAATAAACTTTCCCTGCTCTGAAGTATTATTAAGTGTATTTAACATTTTTTAACCTGAAACTCAGCTCAAGTTTATTGACAGTTACAAACCTCTGGCAAATAGTGTTCACTATTCTGCAAACTTGTAAAAAGCTGTGAGCAAACCTGAGACATATTCCACATTGTAGATGTCAGCAACAGCAATTCTGAAGAAATTTGATGTTTCAGCTTTAACTACATTCAGATGTGAGATGTGAGATTCTGCGAACAGAATCTGTATGCCAGTATACACAAAGCGGCCCAGAGAAAATTCACATAAATTTTGACAAACAAACCAGCGTGCAACTGAAGTGTAACCCAGCCTCCTGGGCACCATTAGAGGTTCTCAAGGACTCTCAGGACCTATTTTCATGAAAGAAGTAACCATGAAGTTCCTGTTACACTGACTCACAGCAGTCTAGATGGGAAATTGGCATTAATCATAGGACTCCGAACCTCATAAGTGAAAGACAAATATTTGTCCTATCAATGCCACTCTCTGTCTCTCAATCCAAAGCCATAATAAGGTACTTACAAAGGAGACAACCCTGGAGGAAATGAGGTGAAAGGCTTAATTTAAACTTCACAGACTTCCTGGTGTGAACCAGGATACAAAGTTATTTCACACGACACTGGAAGAAGGTTGGAGGGAGAATAGCTGTGCAAGGTGAAAGACAATGTAGACACAAGAGAAAACATGTCGAGATACAGTTCCTCGACATCATAAAAAGAGACAGGAGTGAGGATCAAAGGAGTGAGGATCTAGACCACTGTTGCAGTAGAACCAGTGGTAGCAAGGAATTCAGCCAGTTTTGATATAAATTGATTAAGATAAATGAAAGAGCCATATGACAGTCTAAGAGCAGTGATAAAACAACAACACATAATTATATTACAGTCCAACTGCTCTAGTTGAATCACAGAATCAGTACGGTTGGAACTTCAGACTTGCACAGGAAACCTTAACCCAGAATGTTGCTTCAAACACAATTGTCTTCAAACATTGAGACATGTTGAGACATGCTTCCCAAATTATGAAATGGAACCTTAAAAACCGTTTTAGAGATTTAACAAACCTGAAAACAAAAACTACCAAACTTACACAAGACAAATTTCAATCTTGACAAGGAATCAGAATTCCACTGCCATTTGAAAGCAGCAGCCTCAAATAAAATTAAACAAATGTAACCAGCACATCCAGAGCATGCTCAATGTACGATATTTATTAATGCACATCGCCCTTCCAGATTCACCTGATACGATGAAATCTGCTTCTGCAAAAGTGCAGGATCTTTACTGCTCGTGTGAACCTTTTCAATAGCTTGGTGCTGACCTCTAGTGTCAGCAGAATTATATTACCGTTCAGCAAACGGTAATGCAAGTTGCAATCAATCCTTCCTGATAACTGGCACACAAATTTTACCACTGATGTATACCAAGGTGCAAAGCTGAACCCTGTCTCACTAGTTTCATACATACAGAAACACTAAAGCAGACTAGCCTTCTCAATCACACAGTGTACATACTCTTATTTCTCCAGGCACTTAGCACACATACAGGCATGGGGTAGCATCCCCTCGGAGGCACAGCTGGAAATTTTGTGCAGAATACGCATGTTTACACAGTGACATTTTCAATGTGTAATTCCCAAGGCAAATCAAAAAGTATTGATTGCCAAAGCATTTAGCAGACACTTTCCAGCATGAAGAAAACTTTACTGGTTCTCAGAGGGTGATAGCTCCATGCCAAATCGCCTCCACTGCCCTCCCTTTCCCCCCCCACTGCTTCTTGTAACAGCTGCACAATAAGTGATTACAGGAATTTTATTCTAATACGGAGAATATTTTTCCACACAATCCAGAGAGTCCCATTGTTTTCAGATATTTGTTTTAAAATCCCACTACCAGCAATGCTCATACCTGAGAAAATTTTGCATAGAATGTGAATTTCAGTAAATTCATACATAACAAAAGGAATTAAAAGTCTTCTCAACTTTAACCAAGAAACTCATTCTCAGGCTTCCCAGAATACGAACAAGAAATATGTTGGCATTTTAGACCTAATCCCTTGAAAATAACTTCAAAGATCATTGTTCACAAAATTCTCATTGTCAGCTTTTGACAGATGCATGGGCACGAGCCCTGAGAGCTGTGATCTACCTGCCACTGATGCTGCTTGCTGTGGTTTAACCAGGCCGGCAGCTCAGCACCACACAGCTGTTGGTTCTCTCCCCTGCAGTGGGATGGGGGAGAGAACTGGCAAAAACGTAAAACTCGTGGGCTGAGATAAAGACAGTTTAACAGGACAGAAAAGGAAGGGAAAATAATAAAGATGATAAAGAAATATACAAACAAGTGATGCACAATGCAATTGCTCACCACCCGCCAAACAATGCCCAGCCTGTCCCTGGGCAGCAGCCACCCCCTTGCCAGCCCCCAGTTGTGTTGTTCCGCATGATGCCCTGTTTTATCGGACATCCCTCTGATCAGCCTGAGCCAGCTATCCTCACTGGCAGACAGCACAAGCAGCAGAAAAGTCCTTGTGAGCACTGCTCTGCAACAACTAAAACATCAGTGTGTTATCAGCATTATTCTCATCTTAAATCCAAAACAGCACCACTCCAGCTACTGGGAAGAAAATTAACTCTGTCCCAGCCAAAACCAGGACACTGATAACCACCTTACATAAGGGTTTTGCTACCTATATCCTATCCTGTAACTTTCAAAAAACTCTCAGAAGCCTTAGCAGAAATTTCAATATTTATTTAAATGTAATGCTATCAGAAGCTTTGCCTTTATCAAATTATTCTGGCCTGACACTTTAGAAGAGCTAGAAGTCTCATCCACCTTCCTTAACAATATCGCAGAAAAAGAAGCATACCATTAAAGTTTTCACCATTCAACTTCCCTTGGTTTTAGCTTCATGTTGAACATTGTCAGATTTGGCATTCAAGGAAACATTAAAAACATCCTTTCTTCTTCTCATTTCTTTGTACTAAGTGCTAATTCTTCTTGGAGTGGAAAAACAAAACAAAACAAGTTTCTTGTTTAACCAGCACTGCTACCTTTTCCTTTTTCACTGAACTCAGAATTCTCAAAGTAAATGAAGAGTTAGAAACAATATACCCTAGAGTGTATTTACATTTTTTGATTGTTCCTATATAAAATATATATATATGTTCAGTGTTTCAAATTAATCAACCTGAAAATTACGAACCAAAAACTGAAGAAACTACAAACAACTGTAATCCTTTGGAGAAGGAAGTTTGGCAACAGGAAGAACAGAAAACAATGGATTCAAGGAGAATATCACTTTAGTCCAATCATTTCAAAATAAAAATATCTATCCAATATTGCTGGGATCCAAGAAAAGAAACTTAGGTGAGGAAAATTTAGATCTGTCAGGATGTTTTGACTAGATGAAAAGATGGAAAAATAAAATCAGCAGTGGAAAAGATTTGAATTCTTCTAAATGTAGTTGGAGAATATAAAAAGGTGTGTAATACCTGACAACATTAAACAAACGAGCAAAAAGGAAATAATCATACAAAAGCATAAAAGTAGATTAAAATATCAGTAGATATCAGAAGATGCTGAAAGGAGAGGAAAAAAAAAAATCAAAGTTGGACAGGAAGCCCTTTTGTCATAGTTTATCCATTGGTAGCACTCTGTGGTTGAAAGCCAAAGATCCAAGCTTACTCCCACCCCATGATCTTTGATATCAAATACAGCCTCTCAATTCAAGCATCACTGATTTAAAAAAGAAATGCAACCAGCATTCCTTACTAACACTGTTTCCTGCATCCCTCCGATTAATCAACTGTTCACTTTCCTCTTCCAGAAAACACTGACAAGATGTAAAATAATCTACAGCAGCCCTCAATGGTGCATTTCTTTTTTAAAGAAAGCTTAAGTCTTGGCCCAATTTCTCATGTGTCCATAAAATAAGTGGCTGGGAGCCAAGTATCATTTCCAGAGCCAAGTGTCTCTTCCACAGATTAAGTTCCTTTTTCAGTAAAATAAAGAGTTAAAAAGGTAGAAATGCGTTCAAAAGACAGATACATATATCTCAAAAGCATTAAGATCCCTGAAAATAAAAACCTGTGCCCTATATAAAGTATATGCATTTCTGAGCATTTTCATCCAACTCAGGGATTTGTGTGTGGATTTAGTCAGCCATCCTTGAAACTGTCAAGATACTTAACAATGCAAAAATTAAGGGCTTTATCTCATCTTTAATTCTGTCTGTAATTTTACATTATTTTTCTTTCCTTTCTTTCTAACTTCTGGCTCAAAATTGGGGCACTGTTTCAGAATTCAGTCACACTATGGAAGTGTCATTTTAATGGAGATGAAAGAGCAATATTAACTGACAACCAGAGCTTCTGACAAACAGAACTGCATGGGAGTGAGCAATGATTGAGATCTTAATCACTTGTCGGCTGTCGCATTGTGATGACTTGCATTTACAACTAATCTGGCTTGAGTAATGAGCGAAATTTCTAGCTGAGTGGTGATTGGCATTCTCTGAATGAGTCCTTTCCTCATATTTCATTTTCATGGGTGACTGATCACATCCAGTATATAAAAAACTGACATATGTTAATTGAACAGATTTGTGACAGGTGATTAGCTCTCCTTTCCTAAAGAGTCCTAGAGCTGTTTAATTATTTAAAAGTGATAAAACTTTTTTCTTTTTTTTTTCCCCCCATCACCATCGGCCCTCGATTAAGATTTGAACTTTAGGAAATAGCATGAAAGGTGTAAACTAGAGTTACGTGAGCCCTGTAGTCTTTGATTCATGACAATTTCTTTGTTTAACTGCCTTCGTGGGAGGAAGAGAAGGAAGAGGTGAAAGACAAACCAACAACCCAGTTAGGAAGCAGAAAGTGGCTTAGAGGACAAAGACTTCTTCATTCTTTGAGCATTCTTTAAAGACATTCTTTGAAATTTTCCAAGCTACTCACTGAAAGATGCAAGGCTATCAGATTTAAAATATATATAAATATATATATATAAATAAATAAATAAATAAATAAATATTTATATTTTTATATATATATAAATGTCATGGAATTCATAGAAGAACTCTACCAGGTACCTGGCAATCAGCTGAGCCAACTCTTTTCTAGAGTTGAGCTCCTCGGTACTGTACAAGAGCCATCTTGTTATCGTACTGTCAGCCAAAAAAAAAAAAAAAAAAAAAAAAAAAAAACAGAGTAGAAACCACAGGAACTCACTTCCCTGTCCCACAGCAGAGCCCAGCGCACCTTGAAATGACAAGAAACCAACCTAGGATCTCAGGATCCTGGGCTACAGAAACCAAAACCAGGACCTCTGGAGCTGCTTGCTCCTGTAGGGCCAGGAGTCTAGGGATCTTGGAAGTAACCAGCAAGGACCTTCAGAAGCCTGCAGCAGACAGGCTCAAACTGGGCCTTGCAACAGTTGCAGGACAAAAACAGCTCCTGGAGGGGTGGCTGGCACCAGGCTTGGGAGTTTTGAAGCCTGAGCCAGAGACTGATGGCAAAAAAATAAATAAAACTAAGCAGCGGGTCAGCACCACCCAGGGCTCTTGACAGCATATTACATGCCAGAGGCATCACACATTAAAATTGTTGGGAACAGAATTTTGAGAACTTAGGTTTCTGAGAATGGGGAGATTATCATCTGCAAAGCAGCATTATGAAGTTTGGGGCACCTCTGCTCTGTCTTCCATGCCAGAAAGCCCGCCTTTACCTTTAGGTTGGGAGACAAATAACACTTACCTACAATTTTTCCTGTGAGGAAAATAGTAGAAGCTGCTGATCAGATGCTTGCCAGTAGGAGCAGCCAGAAAAGGTCTTTGGGCTATTCAGATAATTTTCTATTGTTCTCATTCCTCTGCTAACTGCTGCTTGTCCAACCCCCCTTGCTCTGCCCTTAGCTACATGCCAGACCTATTATCTTTGCTTTGCCTCTGCCACTTCTCTCTCAAGGCTTGCTTTTCAGTATCACTTTCCATTTAGTTCATCCTTTCCTAATTCTTGGCTGATTTTTAAATATTTCTATAACAATAAATAACTTCACCCTTTGTCTCAGCATTACCAGTTCCATGAAATTGTACGAGGACTACACCCAGCTCTCACTGAGGCAATTTTTATTCAGCTAGACTGAAAAACATGAGCAACCTCTTCCCTTACAAACAGAAGTTCATATTTAGTTATTGTGAGATTAACAGAAAGGCAAACAGCTGCAGAGACAAGTTTGGTGTAGTTTTAAGGAACTTATCGTACTAAATAGTTGAAATAGCTTCTCTTAGTTTGAATAGTTTCTGTTACTATAAATTACTTTAATGTCAGTAAATAGATTATGTCCCATGTTTCTTCAGAATACAGGTTTTAAATAATTTGATACATTATGTACATTATGCAGTTACTTTATCAGTTCATTGCTAAATAATTACCCTTTCACTGAAAAAAGGTCTCAGATTCTAAATGTAGTGAGTGATCTCTTTAATGTGTCTAAGACAAGAGGCAAAAGAGAGGGGGAAAAAAAGGCAAATAGACACGCTTGTCCTTGACAGTCCTCAAATGCCACACACAAGCTCCACCAGAAAGAATAGTGATTGCAGATAATGGTAAATAACTAAACAAATTATGCAATGGAGTATAGCTAATATGTAGGAAGACTAGAAGATTTATTAATTACATCATAAGGCTTTTAGCAAGAGATTCTTCCTTTTTATCAGAGAGATGCATTTGGAGAAATACAGGCAAGTTTGAGGGACTACATCCTGGACAGGTTTTACTTTGCTTACATTCAGAGACTAAAACAACCTATAAATTTTATACAGAATTATAGAATCACAGAATTTCTAGGTTGGAAGAGACCTCAAGATCATCGAGTCCAACCTCTGACCTAACACTAACAGTCCCCACTAAACCATATCCCTAAGCTCTACATCTAAACATCTTTTAAAGACTTCCAGGGATGGTGACTCCACCACCTCCCTGGGCAGCCTGTTCCAATACCTAACAACCCTTTCGGTAAAGAAGTTTTTCCTAACATCCAACCTAAAATTCCCCTGGGGCAACTTTAGCCCATTCCCCCTCGTCCTGTCACCAGGCACGTGGGAGAACAGACCAACCCCCACCTCACTACAGCCTCCTTTGAGGTACCTGTAGAGAGCGATAAGGTCGCCCCTGAGCCTCCTCTTCTCCAGGCTGAACAAGCCCAGCTCCTTCAGCCGCTCCTCGTAGGACTTGTTCTCCAGGCCCCTCACCAGCTTCGTCGCCCTTCTTTGGACCCGCTCAAGCACCTCGATGTCCTTCTTGTAGCGAGGGGCCCAAAACTGAACACAGTACTCAAGGTGCGGCCTCACCAGAGCCGAGTACAGGGGGACGATCACCTCCCTAGCCCTGCTGGTCACGCTGTTTCTGATACAAGCCAGGATGCTGTTGGCCTTCTTGGCCACCTGAGCACACTGCTGGCTCATATTCAGCCGACTATCAACCAATACTCCCAGGTATTTCTCTGCCAGGCAGCTCTCCAATCACTCATCTCCCAGCCTGTAGTTCTGCTTGGGGTTATTGCGCCCCAGGTGCAGGACCCGGCACTTGGCCTTGTTGAACTTCATACAGTTGAAATATTATTTATACTATATGAAATGAGAAATGATTGCATCGTGTAGTAAAGTATCTGTTAAAACTCACCTAATTCAATATCTCTTATTCCCATATATGTTTCAAGAAGCTCATCCACTTTTTTTATTGCTTTTTCTTCAACTTCAGATGGCTTTGTTGAAATAAAGGGAGAGAAAGCAAGTGTATGATTAGTATCTATGCAGAATTAAAAATAACTAACTGGATACTGATTATCTTCACTCTTATAAGTGCCTAGACTTACAAAACCTAGAAGTAAAACATGTTATTCTTCTCTCTTCCCCTCTTCTCAGAAACTCAAGTATTCCTACAAACTTCAAACCACATAGCTCTCATATTCACCAAACTAAACACAGGCCTTCCAACTCCTGACAGTACAGATCTTTACCAAATCCTCATCAGCTTTAGAGGGATCCAAAATAAATAACATTTCTTATTCCAGACCCTAATCATGGCTTTACACACATTCAAGTCAATATAAGTTATTAGCCTCTCCTAACAACCATGCTTACATTATCCCAGTACACTTAGCAGTGTCACATATAGAACCACCCTTTCAACTGTTGCTCATATTTTTACCTTCCCTCTTTTCAACACTCCTTGGTCTAATCCATCTTAACTTTATCCATGTAACATATGGGATCCCCTAGATGGAGTATAGGCTCTCCATTTCCAGATTCTTCAGCCTCATTCTATCTTTCCTAGTCTTCAAATCTGTGTAAACATTTCTCCTTGGAGAAAGCAGACTTTGTCATAAGTCCCACAAGCTTTGTAACACCCAGAGTTTTCCTTCCTGCTTTATCTTATAAACCTCAATGATGAATAAATCAGGTGCTAGAAGATTAAACTATTGAAAGGTCTTGAAATAATCATACCATTTCCTCCACAGTGGCAGGGCCTTTAGTTCGCAGACGAAGTGTTTCTCTCCCTCTGGAGATTTTAGCCGCTGTCAGAGTTCCACCTGTGGACCTTGGTTCTATCTCTTCTAGAGAGAAAGAAAAAAAAGAAAAAAGAAAAAAGAATGGCAAACAAATTTAAGTATGTGTTATATCAGAATATAATACATATGCTTCAGCTGTTACATTAATTTAAGTTTTTATTCTAATCAATATTTAAGATGTATTTAACATTTTAATTATAAATTAGCAACATTTTAGCTTTGCTGACAATTTTTTTGTCTTCTAATTTTGATATCCACTTGACTTCTACAGACCGATATATACATTGAAGCCTATCGCACATCATATCTTCATTTAATTTTACCTCATTCTATAATAAAATACAAAGACTTAATATTAGATAATGTCTGAAGTCATCAGCCAAATACAGACTTACCCTGCTCCTTACAGGCAGACTAAATTGCAACATTTCCATCCTTGACTGAAGATATGATACAAACAGGATTGCAAAATGTGTCATGATGAGCCACATGTCTGAGGCATGTCTGTTTGCTTCATGCTAAACTGTTTGATTACTATCAGTCACATAGGTGAAACATATGCATAAGTAGGTCTGTAGGAGTTTTTCCACTGGTTTCAACAAGGTCAGGATTTCATAGCTAGTAAGTCTCCGAAGATAGTATCTGGATAAACCAACAGCTTTATTTATCTGAATTCAACTTTCCTTGTTTATTCTTGGGCAAGAGCACCCCAGTCAGAAAACGAAGTATTAAATCATTTAAGATTTGGCTCATCTCAGACTTCCTGTTATAAGAAATAATTTTACATTCAGGACTGGAAAGGATGTATTTTACTTATTGACACAGGAGTTACATAGCTAATCTGGAAAGTACTAAAAAGACTTGTGGAACTTTTTTAGTGTGCTAGTTTCTCCACCAGGGTATTCCTTTTCTTAAAGGGTGGCCTTAAGCTGTTTTCACTTTGCCCAGGTAGGTTTTATCTCATTGTTCTTGCATTGGTGGGCAAAATACAGATTATTCTGCTAAACAAGCGTTGCAATATGAATTTTAATTATTTTTATTTTAACATATATACTTCACAGTCTATTAAATACAAGACTTAAGATCAACACCTTTTTTTAACACTTTCATGGCTTCAAGGACAGTTTAAAACATCTTTAAAACTTCCATAATTTCTGTTAGATTTATTTCAAAAAGCCATTCCTGGTGCAACATACATCTTTTTCTAGCTGTCACCACTAGCACCTTAAAACTCGTGATATGACATGAGCTTTATTTGTAATACCTTACACCAAAGCCAAGACAGAAACTATTTTTCATAATCATACAATTTAAATTTATACTTTGTTATCCTGCTTTTGCTTTGTTTCTGTTGATTCTTCACCAATTCACAGAGGGCTAGCTTATGACTGGTAAGGACAAATCTTATTCAGAGAAGACTAATTCTGTACTTTAAATATTGCCTAGAGTGCAGTGACAGCATGCATGCACATGGTAAGAAGACACACAACCAGTAAGTTATACTTACTCCACATTCCACTGACGGGAAGAAAAATAAAAGCTAGTAATTTGACACAGACTTGCCTCTCATTCCTATACCCATATAAACTTGAAGAAACCAGATTTTGTGGCAACTAGCAGGCATCCTACACCTATGTGTCCAGAAGGATCTGAATCTTGTTTGTCATCTTCTCAGGGGCTATTCTCAGCAGGCTACAGCATAAACCCTAGATAAAAATTTGTGCCTAAAGTTCAGCTGCACCAAAAGCAAGTGCCAGAATATTCTTAACCTGTCACACTGGATACTGTAACTTCTAAGCTCATTTCTGTAGAGTAAAAAATAACATGTAGCTTTCAAAAATCTGTTCAAAAAGCTCAATTCCATGTCTTAATTCAATGTCTTGTAAAATGTATTGCCACAGAATTAGCAGGTTTCCTTTTCTGTGTATGTACATAGAAAATGTATATGCATGTACTTTATGCTAAATTAGTATTACAACATATATTTACTTAACAGGAGTATCAACTTATACCCAAAGGTATTAGAGATTAACACATAACTCTTATTTCATGCAGAAGCACCAAAAGTAAAAACTCTTCCAACTTCTCTCATTTTCAATTTCTGCTGTTATTCTGACACCAAGTGTCAAGACTGGTGTATGACAGCAGTTGTAAACTAACAGAAAAAAAAAAAAAAAAAACAACACAACTTTTGCCACTGTGATGAAGGTGATGATTTTGAACTCTCTGATAGTGCACATTAAGTCACACGTACTTAAAATGTAGCAATGTTTTTAACTTTCTTATTAGAGGAAACTACTGTGTGGATAATCAATAAAAATATTAAAAATTGAGAGCATTAAAATTAACACTCAGTCTCTACTTTGACTCCCTAAGCTAAATATGAAGTTTTATTTATTTATATTACACTGATAAAATTAATGTACATAAGGACTAGCAGTAGGTATACATCTCTCCTATGTAATATTACTTTCATGGAGCTTGCAGGTGGTAGGTAGAGATAGAGCTTGTCATAATGCTTTCCTTGAGTTCTAAGTATACTTCCTGTATATAAAATATATGTATGTATAAAAAATACATAACTTTAAATATATAAATCTAATACACAGATGAACAGGAATTGTATGTAAGAGATGTAGCAGAAAAAGAAGAGGAGGTTTGAGGATCAGTAAAGTGATCCATGCTTTAAAACTGTGCCTGTGAAACAATTCCTGTACTTGTTTTGCACCACCATGTGGTGGCAAAGGAATCAAACAACTGAGTATCGGGGCTGAGTCAGACCGCACCAAGATGACTGCTGAAGAAAGCAAGATGGAAGAAAATCCATGCCTAAATTTCCCACTTCAAAGGAAAAAAAAAGGGTGGGGGGGGGGGGGGGGGGGAGGAGGGGAAGGTTTGTAGCACTTACATGTAGTTGACACCTGGCTGCAACCTGAAAACAAACTTACAATGCAACACGATGCTGGATTCAACGAACAAGGTGAACAGACAACCCACACTCACCAAATGCTTTCCTGGGTTCTATTAACTGCAGTTTAAACATCTGACCTTTCTCCAGATCTTTTAGCATTTTGGCAACTTCATAATGCCGACAATCTGACACATCTTTTCCATTTATAGACTCTATGTGATCACCCACGCAGATAATTTTGATTTGGTCCATAAGGCTACCTTCTTTGATTCGCTATAATTAAAAAATAATTAAAAAAAAATTAGTAACACTTCTTAAATAGTAATTTTAAAGAGATGAAACTGGGTTTCAAGAATGTCAGTTAACATTAATAGCATTGAGCTTGTTATGCTAGCAGTGTGTTTTGTCTGTATAACATCAGCAACAGGAAAAAAAAAATACAACCAAACTTCAGAATTTAAGGTTTCGAATAAGATAATATTTTTGTGCTTTAAAGCTGAACCCAAATGTGCTGATAATGTGATTGTTTATTTGATATTTTACTTTGATTTAAAAGCCTGACAGGCATGGGTGCAGCAGTTTTCTCTTTTCAAGTATAGTCCAGGGATATATAAAAAAAAAAAAAAAAAAAAAAAAAAAAAAGTGTACTAAAAACATGGTGTTAATGATGTAAATGATTATAAAGGATAAGGCTTATCTATAGTGAAAAAAAAATCTACCATTTTCCTCACTGAGCTATACAGTTGCATATTAATGTATTTCCTCTGAAATGACAGTAAAGGATAAGAAATGTTTCCAAATGACATCTCAGGGAATATAAATAGCCTAAAGGTCATATAATGTAAGAGAAGCAAGCATTTATAGTTTTTGTGAAGTGGTATTTAAAGAGAAGAACAAAACAATCATTAAAAATCTTTATGATTTATCAAGTCAATTAAAGGACACTTCAGATTTCACTGATTCTGCTTATTGCTTTTAAATGTAGTCATATTTATCATGCTTAAGTCATGAAACCCATTATCCTATTTAATAGAATAGATATGACACGGTAGAATGTTGAATATATTTTGTAGAGATACAAGTTTCATTCCAAAATCTTCCTGAATAATGTACTTTTTAATAAAGGCTGATGCTTTCTTCAGGCTAACTTTGAGTTTACAGTGAGGTAAGGAAGATAAACATATTACCACCTACTACTATAACACCTAACCTAGCTGCATAACAATCTTAAAAACCTGCTTCTAGCTTATGTGTGCATGTCTGAGCCCACATATGAGAGAGTCAGTGGGAAGTGTGATAATGTGCACCATCCTATAAGATACTGCAAAAATTTTTAGCTTCAGGCAGAGTTTAACTCTTTCCAGTGCTTTTTGTTAATGTTGTTTAACCTAGATTAAAAAACAAAAAGCAGCGTTACGGTGAATGAAGAAGGGGGTATCATACACAAACAAGAAACCAGGTCTCAAATGATTTTTGTTACCAGGCGCCAGGATTCAAAATCATGCCCATCATACTTCAGTTCCTGCTTAGTCTAAGTGTTGGTTTAATTCCCATTACCTTTTTTTCTTCACTTTGATCTATATACCAACACTGTTTAAGTAATATTGCCTATGTTACACGTGTAGCATTCAAACAATTTTTTTAATATGACTTAGCATTCCAAGTTAACTGACCAGAGACCATCAAGCTACATTGTCGCAGTAATTGTGATGCAACTGATACACCTGTATCAAGTGCTCTACAGTCCATTTAGGAGCTAGGATCTATATTTCCTATGCAATGCTCGAAATTATTTATACAAACCCATTTTACAATGTCTCCTTACACACCATGGTGTAATAGCACAATCTTAAGCACCTACAAAATGCTCCAAGTTCTATTGTTATTCTTTGAGTGGCTAATTTGATTCCATTATACATCTTTACATCTAGCTATGTACCCAGAAAGTAAATTTGTGAAAGTAGCACAACACCTGGTTCTATTACTAATAAGGCACAACAACAACAACATCAAATTTCATAGCAAAAGAGTCTGCAGTTCAGAGCATCAGGTTTAAAATCTGGCCGGGTAACATACCAATCCTGGAAACTGCTGTGTTACACAAAGCACAACAAAATTACTGCAGCCCATACTAGCATCAACCCACAATTAGGTAAATTTAGTATTAATCATTAATTAATAATTGAACACACTAACAAAATTTCAAGGAAAGGAAATATATAAGCAAGTAATTCCATCAAACTATTTGTAAGTAGAGACAGTTTCTGCTTAGTGATTTAGCTGGACAACCAAACATAAAAAAATATGTAGCCTTTAAATTGCATATTTATTTTCTACTCGTTTAAAATGAGCCATTAGCTAAATACACCACAGTAACAAAGTAAGCTCCTAGAAAATCTTCTAAACTGATTCAGAAGTGCATTCCCATGAAGACTGCACTATGTTCATTATACCTATTACTGGACCAGTGCAATGACAATGACATATTTATTCAGACAATTTTTTAAAACAATTCATTCACACAATTTTTTAATACTGGAAATTTCAGCTTGCTGGTTTTGTGAGTGTTTTCCAGTCTGCTCAAATTATGCAGTATGTGATGGCTGTTTCTCTCACCCCCTATTACCAAACAAGCACAGACAGAGTCATGCTCTGTACAATGCTGCACACGTGAACTTTAATCACTGAAGCACTGTTTTCAATGCCTTCTTTTAAAATGCCACATAAGCAGCAGCGTGACTGAATGTTATGAGCTATGCTGATGCTACCACTAGAAATTCAGAGTTCTGTATCTACGAGCATAAAAATGAGGCTACAATTTTGCCAGACTACTTGCTGAAACCTCCACTGCATCTCAGTTTTGTCAAGTGTTATCTCTATTGCATTTTTCAACAACAAAGACAAGCAAACCTATCTCTAGACCATGTCCTGTTTTATATCCATGGTAGCTAAGGAATGAATAGAGTATACAACCTCCACATACAAGAAGCTCTGTTTGTAACAGTAATAATAATAGTAATTGGGACAACAGTAATCAAAGATAATTTCCAGTGCTTCACTAATAACAGTTAGTTGAAGTAGATTAAAGCAAAGCATCTAAAAAAGGGGAGAAAATGAATATGACTGTCTGGAGGTCATATACAAGACGATGAGGAGAGCAATTATGATTAGTATGTTGAATGTGTTGCTGCCTATACTTTCTATGCAAGTTAATTGGGGGTGAATTCTGTCAATCCAAATCCTTACAACATTTTAACTCATCCTACCTATCAATATTGGAAATACCACTATTGGAAAGTTGAAAATGCACTATACTTGCACCTATTCTTATAGAGCATGAAGGCTTCTGCCCTGTGAACAGTCATAAAGACTGAAAGAACATGTTCTCATTATCATGACTGACAGATGTTCTACAAGCAACTATTCACCAACATCAGAAAAAATCAATAAAAAAAAAAGGAGGGGGCAGATACAAGTAGTATTTAACACCTAGCGTCTCAGAATAGGTCAGAAAATATAATAGTCACATTATAAAGCTGATATACATTACAGAAGCAACAAACGAATGACCTAATTTTGAAATGACACGCAACACAGAAATAGCTGAGCTAATTTCAAAAGATGAATCTAAATAAAGCAATTTTTTTTGTACTTGCCATATGCTAAAAGATTTGATAGTTTGAAAGCAATTATTAACCCATTAGAGTTACAGAAGCATCTATATAAAGAAGCATTTAATTGGTAAATAAATTTACCTTTATAAATGCACAGCCAGCTCCATTGTCTGTAACGGTAAGTCCAAGCATATCATCAGATTTAAGAACTTCGACTTCTTTTCGTTTTCCTTTTATGTGGGCAAATATGAAATCTTCAAGGCCAATCTGAGCACCTAACAGCTTGTCCATATCAACTTTATGAGTGTTCAAAGTGCAAAACATGATCTGTGCAGGAAGGAAACAAACACACTACCTTAAAATTTAACAGTTTATTTAGGCTTGGTGAGCTTGACAGGCTGATAGAAAGATAAAAATAGAGCATAATTCTGGCCACATTGACAGATCTGTAACTGACATTATAACAATTCTCCTTCTGCAGCTGCCCCAGGAGAGGTGATAGTCTCCATCCCACGCACATGACAAGAGGCATCAGTAGCTCAGACAGCAGATAAGAGCTGGCAGGGAGCAAAGGAAAGGGACATATCTCACGACCTGTCACACAGCACCAACCTTGACACAAGCAGCTTGAGCTTAAGCAGAACAGCTTGTTCCAGAGGCCTGAGTGAGCAACCCCCAAGAACCACCACCATGTTGTTTATTGTGATTCACCCACCTCAAACAAGGGGCACTGCTCGGGGTCAGGCTTCACTTCTGCCCACCACAAGAATGGGGCCAGCCCAGGCAGGCTCTGGACTTTCTAACACAGCCTGTACTCAAAGGGCAAATAGCCTAGCCAAAAAATAAGAAACAAATCCACAGTTTCTCCTCACAGGGTAACTTCACCTGATGGCTTCTCTCCAAGCTGAGGCTGAACAGGAGCAGTGGCTGAGGGAGGCCCACGCAGCCTCCTCCTGGGCAGCACCAGAGCACGGGGCTACAGCCAAGAGAAAGTCATGCCCCCAGAGAAGCTTGGAGAATGCCTAAAATTGATTTATCTGATGCAAGCTGTTCCCTCAAGACCATCTTTCAAGTGCAACGGAAAGCAAGGGAGGAGGAGGAGGCTTGTCACCCCATGTGGCCCAGGTAGAGGAGCCACAGCTGGAAGCCACTAGCCAAAGGCCATCATCTTGTTACCTCTGCACTGCTGCAGGCAGGATGCATGGGGCTCTGGCAGGACAAGAGAGAGCAGATACAGACAGAGGTTACAGAAGTATCTGCTGGACACAATTTTCCATCAGAACACACCTTGGACCCCCCTTGCTGCCTGACAGGTCCAAATTTGGAAGCAGGAAAAGAGGTGCCAGGGCCACACATGAAAGGAAGTACACATGGGGTAGCCAGCCGAGCATCCAAGAAAAACAGTGCAATGTCAGCTGCTGCTCTAGTGGCTGACCTATGACGCCCCAGCACTCTGCTGGAAACGTAGGCTTTCCTTCTGCTGCCCCTCACCACACCTACGAAAGTTATGGGGATTTCACCCCCAGAATGCTTCAAATGCCTTTTCCTTCATTCCGGTATCAGTGGATGACAGCATGAAAACCACTAAGCTGTTCAGGTCTATTCCAGGCCAGATGAGGGGGAAATATTTTTCCTAATGCATTTCACAGAGAGCTTTCACTTTCTGAAGTTTTATAGATCTTGGACTCTATATAAATACTTGTTTGTTTGTTTGCTTTTGCTTAAAAAAAAGTTTAGTAGTGAGATGGTGATTTTGGATTGGTTGGGTCTTTAGTTGTTTTTGTTTTTAAATAAAACTACTTAAAAGTCTAATTGCTTATCTGATAATCCATTGAAATACTCCAGCCTAATGCTTTAATAATGACAGCCACAACAGCACACACTTAACAGACATCAGTTTTATTCTCAGGTAATGCTAAAGTCTTCCAGTTAACCAATACTTAAACAACAGTATCAGCTAGTTTTAAGAATAAAATAAAATTTTATTTTATAAATAATAATCATATTTAATCATCGACATTGTTTTCAACTAAGACAGTTCAATTCAAACAGATTATATAAAATGCATATATATGTTCAGCTTTCTCTCAAGCTACATAACTTGGCCAGTTTACAACTGCAACTCAGTTCTTGTTCTTACAATGAACAGCAAGCACTATGGCTTTACATTTTAGGTATTAATACCCTTCATCTGACCTTGTCAAATACACAATCATCTAGTAACTACTGTCACACCTTTGAATAGATCAACTGGCAACAGAGCAGAAATGTGATATTTAGAAACTCGATCCAGAGTTTCTCTTTTTAGACATTCATCTGGATGGCATTCTCCCTACAGCCTATAAGTCTCCAGAATTCTCTATGAGTCAGTTCTATACTAACCACAAGGCTGAGAGAGCATCAACCAGTCAAAAATAAAACTTAAATCATTCTTTATCCTCTTCAGTGAACAACTGCTTTTTCTCAGAACAGATAACTTCAAAGAGTAATGTACTAAAGATGTATCCACCCGCGATAATATACAGTTACACCATCAGTTACAGCACAGGTTTATTTGTACATGACTAAGGACTGACAATGGAAAAAATTATATTTTTTCATAAGTGTTGTGTAAGCTTAATATAGGTACCTTATAACTGCTTATATACTTAAATAATTAAACAACAGCTACTATAGTACACCTTGCCATTCACTCAAATCTTTATATAATTTTAAGTAGTAATTTTCTTACCCAGAAAAGAAACAAGAAAAATTCAATGTGTAATTTTCATTGTAAAGTCTCTCTCTCTCTTCTCACCCTCACCCTTCACATGCATTTGATCTTCAACTCAGCATACCAGTGCTGTGATATTTCGTGCCAGTTTTAGCAAGGTACTATAAATCATAACTGTTACATCAGCCATGAAGTATCTAGGATACCTCCTTCACAGAGTTATCTTGCACAGCAGACAGAACAAGGAAATTCCATTTGCCTGGCAAAGACTGAGGGCTTGTATATAACCTTATAAAATAGATCCATCAGGTAAGATTGATAACAAATTATTCCTTGCATCCCAATTTTCAATAGTAAGAGACATTGGTCAAAAAAAACATTGTTACAGTGCATTACATAAAGTAAGAAACTATATTAACTAAGAAAGAGGGTTACGATATGTGTTATATGAAGTATATAGGCAGCACCATACTACATATCCTATATATTAATGGCATTCTCAGCTTCCATTAAGCCTAAACCTTAAGAACTCAAAAATAAGTTGACTGACTGATAACATGCTCAGAAGCTATTAAAAGCACTTTTCAAATCAGTAGATCTCATAACTTTATAAAGGGCTTTATAATCACTTTAAGAAGCTCAGAAATGGGATTTCTACTATTGAGCAAAATATAACACCCACTTCCCTCTATATGTAGGTGTCATCTATATCAAGAAACCACCAACACATTTTCTAGCTACCTTGCTCACTTCATCCTCCCTGAGAAAAATGTGGGATCCTTGGCTAGTTGCAGTGGTAGGAGGAGTAACCAAGTCCTCTTAGATACAGTGTGCCACTCTATCAAATAGGCAACTTTACCTTCCCAGACACAATCAAAGCATTGTAAAGTAAGCATTCAGTATTTTGTTGCCTTTTTTTTGTTGTTGTTGTTGTTGTTTAATTTCAGAACACACAAGAATTAGTGTAAGTTTTTCCATACAGCTAAAAGGTATCTGAAATGCAGATCATTAACACAGCAAGCATCACATGTAATGCAGTATCAAATTTAAGCACCACTTCAGGGAACAGCAAGCAAACAATTGTTGCCATAGGGTTGGGGGTGGCTCATTCATTTAAAGTCTTCAATCTGCAGGAGAGATTGTGAGCAATTTGTTTCAACACATAAACAGATACTCCAAATATTTTACCGATGAGGATTTCACAAGCTGACCCTTTTCTCTAACCTCTTAAAACATGCTTTGGATTTTTTATTTTCTTGTAAAAAGGTTACTTATTGATAAACCTAAACTTCAACATGGTGACTTATTTTCCAGTATTTTTATAAAAGTTGAAATTGAATGTGTTTAAATCAAACACTTCTATGAAAGTTTAAGTTGGCACAGCCCCACAGCACACTTAAATGTTTAGCATCAGGAGGCAAGCTCCACTGAACAACAGCCAGGGCACAAGCTCAGCAGCTGAACACTTCTCACTGGAAGAAACAGGGAGCTGCATTTCTGCTCCTGGTGCTACTAGGAAGGCTTCCCTGATCCTCTATTCTCCTTATGAAGCAGAAGGCCTTCCACCCTGAAAGAAATCCTAGCCTTCATGCGCTCTTGATAGACACACCCATTAAGCACTCAATTCACCTCACCATACTTCACCTTATAAAGCAAAAAGAATAATCAAAAGTACAAGTTATGAGTACACTAACTGGAAGCTCATATGCCTTGTTATTTGCCATTTGCTTCCCAACTGACCAAGAAATAGCCCTGCCACATTTAGATTTTAATATTCACATTTCTAACACCTGATTAGCTACTTAGAATAATATTATAATAATAAACAGGAGCACACCACCACCAGATGCTTTAACAGATCCACATTGTCCTTTGGTCAGTGCTCGTTTATTTATCATATGGGCTGCACTTCTCCCTGTGGGAAGAACACTAAGTTTGGACCAGGAAATAAAAAAAAAGGAGAGGGGGGGGGGGCATGGTAAAACTCAGAGAGGTGGGCAGAAATGCATGCTGAAAGGTTCAAAAGGGCTGAGATGCTATTCACCTCAGAAGACAGGTGAAGAATAAAATACCTAGACAAGAAGAGATGAGTACAGGGAAAGCCTCAGAAAGCCACTGTTGTGGATTCACTCCTCTGATGTTTGCTAGGTGTCTGCGAAGGAGTGTCCCCCTCTGAAGGCACACCTCTGTTGTTCCAACTCCATCCTACCCTACTTATGACAAAGGTCTGCACAGAAGTTTTTGTCACTCTGCACTGATTCTTCAGTGTCTGTCCAACAAATACCATGTTTTACACAAGCTTCTCTATGTCACTGTTGGCAGTCAATCACAGTCTGGAAAGGATTCTCCAGCAGAAGCTAAGCTCAGCTGGTCCTGTGGGACGTGATATGAAGAGCAAATGAGGTGCTATAACCATGCTGAGTCAAAAGAAATGACAGATTACAAGTATAGCTCATCCTGTACCGTACTGAAACACTGAAGCAGGAACTTATCCAAGAATCCACACCCTTGCCTACGTCGCAGTAAACTCACACGTCACATTAAATGTATTTATTTTTGCATCGGTTTGCCAACTGCTCTCTCTCCATGGAGCTTCTCCTCTCACACCCCTTCCCCCAGCTATTTTCCACCTCGGTCACTGCAGGGCAGAGATCTCTGTGATAGTACCTGTTTCCAGAGGCATTCAGGTATCACTGCCCACAGGCTTCAGGAGAGCTAGGTCACAGAAACTTTCCTAGACAGATAACACCTACAGGTGGCATTTGAGTACCTCAATGTCTTTCTTTCAGTTTGCAGAGGTTCAGGCATTATTCTTTATGCCTAACTGTACAAAAGCAGCTTTAATTATTAGACAATACCATTCACGTTCTCTAGTCTCCTCTTATTTCCAACAAGCTCAACTGTTGTCAGCAAATTCATGTTTCGTGGCATCCCTTGCTATTCACTCACCTATTTTCTTCTGTTAGTTTTGTCACAAGACTCAGGTCCAGATTCCTCAGCTTAATCACCTTTACATCAGAAAGTCATTTTGATCACTATTTTCATTTTGTATAATATAGTTTCTTAAAGCCTACTGAATTTTTTGAGTTACAAAATAAAAAATAAAAAATAAAATAAAATAAGCTCAGTGCCTCCAGCACTAATTTCCCATCCTTTTCCAGCTACAAACCATATTTTAAAAAATAAAACCCAAACAGGAATGGGACAGTAAAGAGAAAAAGGTTTTTCTAGTTTAGGCACAAGACTGGCAGTGCCTTGATGCCCATGAAATACATGGTGCTTCCTCTAAAAAGAAAAGGAAGAAGAAAAAGAAGAGAGAAGAGAGAGAGGAGAGAGAAGAAAAAAAAAAAAAAAGAAAAAAAGAAAAAACACTTTACTGTCAGATTCTCCATCTAGCAGGAGAAATAGGAAGTGCACCATTCATCCTAAACTGAATTTCCAGAAGAACATTACTCTTTCAAGTAAGCGGAGCCACAAGATCAGTAACAAAAATTCATTGGTGAAAGAAAACATAATTTAAAAAAATAATGTATATATATATATATATATAAAACGTGCTATATATATATAATTAATATATATATATTATAAATATATAAACATAATAAAAAAAATTAAAACATAACCTGGGAATTATGAGAACTTGAGAGCTGAAGATGTAACTGGAGGTTGAACAGAGAACAAAAGGGGAACAGTATCTCACAGAAAGAAAACAGAAAACCAGACAGAAAGCAGCTGGGAAGATATTGCTTAATTACTTAACGCACCAGTGACTGGTTAAACTGTATTCGCTGTTACCAACACTTTTATAGTTTACCATTAGAAACGCTGCTCAGTCAGGTGGCAGCAGCGGCTTTTACAGAATAAAGTTTGTCATAGTAGCCTATGGAACTTCAGAAAAGACAGCTACAAATAAGAAAACAAGTCAAAGTGCCGCTTGCGGACCTAATGAAATGTTAACACTTTCTTTCATTTTGCCACTCAGAGGTTAAGGTTCACAGAACCATGTAGGAAGAACTTGATACGGCCACTGCCTTTCAACTAAGGGAAAACAATGCATTTACAAATGAATCATAATCCAAACAAATACTTAAAGCTCAGCTCAGACAAACAAAAAATAAAAGATCAAAAAGCCAGAAGAGTAAAAAAAGAAATAAACCATGAATAAAATAATCCTTTTCTGGGTTTAAATAACCCCGATTAAACAGATGTCTTTCAAATCTAACTGTCTGGCACAGCCTCCTCCACCACCCCGCTCAGGGGAGACCCGACGAAGGGGCCAGGTTTAACGCCGGGGCACCCGTTCACCCTCCCGGCTCCGTCGCTTTGCTCCGAAGCCGGCCAGCACCCCCGCGGCCAGAGCCAACCCGACAGCCGAACGCCGGCCCCAGCGCCGGGCTGAGCGCCAGGGGGCCGAAGGCGGTGAGGGCGCGGCCCCGCCCCGACCCCCCCCCGGGCCGTACCTCTGCGGGGGCGATGCCGAAAGCCTCGGCCACCTTGGCGTAGAGCTCGCGGGCATTGCCGAAGCCCTCCACGCGGCCCGTGGGGCTGCCGTGCGCCAGCTGCGCGTGGAACTGCAGCCGCGACGCGCTCCCCGTCCCGGCCGGGGCTACCCCTGCTGCCGGTGGGGCGGCTGCGGGGGCCCCCGCCTCGCTGTCCACCAGCTTGGAGGTGTCCTTGGCCTTGCCCTTCTTCTTGTTTCCCAGCCCCAGGGGCATCTTCCCCGCCTGCCGCACGCTCCTGCCGCCGGCTTCCCGCGACGGACTCTGCCCCCGGCGCCGCCCCAGCCCGGTCCGGCCATGCCGCCGCCAGGTGAGGCCCGGGGCCCGCGGCCGCCCCGCCCCGGCCTCTCCCAGGGCGCTGAGGCGGCCCGGCCGGGGCAGGGGGCGAGCGGAGGGACCCCCCCCCCAACGTAAGGAACCAGAGCCGAGCAAAAGGCCAGGGAGGAGAGCAGCAGCCCCCAGCCTGTCGCGGCCCCTATTCCTGTAAGTAAACAACGCTTCCTGGGCGTTGATGGTGAAGGGTTCTTTAATGGAAGGCAAGGGCACGGTCAAGTAGCCCACAGAGATACGAAGGAGTTTGCCAAAGGCAGGTATGTTTTGTCTTCTGGCCTGTTCAAAAACATCTACTTCTGGTTTGGGGGGTGTGGTTCTTTTGTAGACAGTATGAAGTAAATAAAAAGTTATACTATAGGCACTTTTAAAGTACATAAAGCCAGAATGGATGAAGTTTACCATCTTTCCACTGACCAGGTTTAGGGATTTCTACTGAGAATAAAAGTGTTAAATATTGATCAGAATAGGTTTATAATGAGGACAAAAAAGTATACAAGGACTTCTGCCAACTCTTGCTGTTTTACCACAATTGTACTTAGTGTACCCACCAAATATCAAAGGATCAATAAAGCAATAGCCATGTAAGCAAAGTTTAAAGGGCTATTGTACTGTACCTATATATTAGAAATATACCTATATATTAGAAATATAACCCTATATATTAGAAATATATATTTTTCTAACATGTAGTGGACTTAATATGTTTCCATCTCCATTGTGGAACAGAAATATTTCCTATAATGACTTAGATGCTTATATACCACAGAAAACCTCTTCTGTCCTCCTCCAATGAAACTACATTCACCTGGGTGGAATTACTCCATTTTCACTGGTGTACTCAATCATGAAAAAGCATGTCATAAGTGGAAGTGTCACAAAACATTCAGCGCTTCTAGAGGAGTCTGCTGCAAAGCTGCAGAGAGAAGCAGTATTGCTTTCAATCTTCTGAGTTTCAGGAGAGGAAAAGAAAGCATAGGGAATAAGCAAGTAGGATTCTCATATATGTAACCAGACCAGGTAGGCACAATAAAGATGATTAGGAGGCAGCCTGGAGTTAATAGTTGACTTACCAGCCCAGTTTGAAAACAGAATACTTAAGTGGAAGATTTCTGTGAATTTGGAGAAATGTTTTCCCCCGAAATACTAGGATAAAATTAAGGGAACATATTGCAATCTCATTCAATTTATGCCAGTGAGATGCCATTAAATGACAGTACCAAAGTGTTCATGTCCAAACATTCTAATATTAGTTTTTTTCACTGTTTTACAGTTTTAAGTGAGCAATTTATTTTAAAACATGCCTTTTTCCACCTACCAAAATGTCAGTGTCACCAATTCTTTTGTATTATGTCTTATCTCTACCAATCTTGATGTCTACCAACTCATTTATCTTGTGAAAAGATAACTGAATCAATGTTTAAAACCCATCAACTGTTGTTTGTTTCCATTTAACATCAGTAATGAAGTAAAGACATCCAAGTTCCTGTATGTAACAGAGGGTGAGTAGATTTATTTCACAAATTTATGGACATTGACATAGCCGTAATTTAGGTATGTTGCAAAATTTCCTTTAACTGAAGTGTTAATGCTTCCATGCTTTGTATGGAGATAGATGGAAGTAGCTGAAGTTGTATCAGAACTGTGCTGATCCCATTACAGCTTGGAGGAACAGCATCAGTTTTTAAGCACAGAAAGAAAAAGTGATGGGAAACCAGCACAGCTGACCAAGTAGACTGAAGATCATGTTGTACTGTTTAAAACAAACAGTATGGAGCATGTATACATGCTATCGTTATCAACATAACAGATACAAATAAACTTTTTTAAAAAACGTAGTTTTCTCTACCTCTCATATGCTAAGATATTCTTGAAAGCCATGCCTCCAACAGAATCTACATTAAGTTGTCATTAGCAGCCTCCAGCTTTGGCAAGAAATCATTAAGTGTTCAACACATCCACTACTACTACATATACTTATTTTTTGATAAGCTGCAAATGCTACATACTAGTATTACTCTGATCATGAATTAGGTGTTCCCACCACCAGCACAGCAGCGTGAACTGAGTGATCTGTAGAACTAGAAATGAGTCAGATTTCTGAGAACCTCAGAGAAAAAAAGAGCCTATATAAGGCACAAGACATTTTCTCCAACTACAACCAGTCCTGCTCTCAGGCTTCCTTAAGTGTGTACCCGCTAGGGAAACATCTGCCAACTTTAAGTAATACATATAATAAGATCATGTATCCAAATACACCTCCAATAGCAAGGGGTAGTTGGGATCTGGAAAGTACTTAAGTTGCACTTTTAGTAAGTGACATTGCAAAGTGTTAATCATTCAATATTTGCCATAGTTTTGGAAGAGGAAAAATAAGTTACACACTAAAAAAAAAAAGAAAAAATATGTTTCAGTCCTTTTGTCCTACAATTACATTGCACAATGCAGGTTATCACATTCCTCGGTTTAAGCCACAGTACTTCAGGTGGAAGTACCATGATATGCAACAAGCATGTCTGTGGAACAGAACAGAATCCTACTAGTAAATACAAAATGCCACAGAGCTCTACTGCAAAGTACCAGTAGCGTATACAAAACTTTCACTACACATGGAACATGTATCTGTGACTTCAGGAGTTCTTACCTGAAACACTTCATATCTTTCTGGTTATCCACACTCCAAATGAAGCAGCTGCTAAAAAGGATTTTGACTAGAGAATGAAGAATCTATTTTATAAAATATTGCAGGACCTCATCATGCTTACTCTAACGAAAACAAGGCCAAGAAGAAACATGGCTGGTCCTTTTATTTCAATTTGATACTCCCACAGATACTTAAACTATAAAAAAAATAGAACTGAAGTTTCCAAGTCATAATGTTAAAAAAAAAAAAAGTCTTTGATAAAACAGAGGATGAAATATAATCTTCAGACAGGAGTTCAAAAAGGATTGCCTGTGACAGAAGGGGCCTAAACTCCATTACCAAATTGATCTTCTGACAGTATGGCCATACCACATTGAATATTCACACTTCAGCTTTGACACATGAAAAGCAGCAGCTAGTCAAACCATCCTCTGGAAGCAAAAATAAACTTATTTTGTGCACTGACTTCAAGTTTGGGACTGTGACTTAACAGGGAGCATAAGGGGTTCCCAGGGATTTGATCCCTGTTACCTATCACTTAAAATCAGGTTGTTGGTGTATGAGGAAAAATAAAAATGGATGTGGTTTTTCTGAATTGAGCTCAAAGTTGTTCTTGGTCTTTATTACACTTAACCATAGCTGTTCTGGCAAGGGCTGCTTCTCAATTAATGCAGTTTTATCATCCCTCCTTTGGATATAAATGAGCACTTTAGACACTTTTTTGGAACATACCATACCGTACTTGTCCAGGGAAATGCTATATGGTATTTCAGGAGCTGACTGGGTTGATTTTTGTTCTTTAATGATGTAGGGCAGAAAGAGCTAAGACAAATTTGTTCTTGACAAAGCAATCAGGCATGACAAACATAGCTGTTGTAGCTCCTCCCCTGGGTAGACCTGCACTTCCCGTAGAACAAACCAAGCACAGAGTTGCACCTTCAAAGCTCCAGAGGAGCAACAGTAGCTCTCTACTTTCATTCTTTACATAAGAAAACAATTAATTGGAGGACCATGAAGAAAACGAATCATGCCACCTGGAAAGAGTCCACTGCTGAACAATTTGACAAAAAGCTGAGATTTCAAAAAATTAGTAGAAAAAAATAGTGAATACATGAATACCCAGGTTCTACGTGGCCTGATCAGAAAGCAATACAGTAAGAACTATTAATGTCACCTGCAGAGGAAGACTAGCATTTACTGACTGGAAAAGGAAAATTGCCTTTTATAATGTTCAGTCACATACCTAATTTTTTTTAGATCTAGCTTAAGAAATCAAGTGCACAGATTTTCATCCTGACTCATCATAACAGTTTCACTGGTGGGGTAGAACCTACTGTATCCCTAAAGCATGTTACCAGCAAGTCAGACTGGTACACTGGATATGCATACTGAAAAGGACATGTTCTGGTATTCTATTCAAGAGTCAAAATGTCTGGTTACCTCTGAGTCTTCTTAGAAGCTCTGTCATCTATATAAACTGGTAAAAAGGGGGCCAGGAGAATCAGTCAGCACAAGAGCTTGGGAGCTCTGTAAGCGGATCACTGGAAGGAGCTCTGTAAGCGGATCACTGTGGTACTGATACTGCTGAAGTAAGGGGAAGTGATTCTGGACCCAACAGGGAGAGCTTGTCAAATGCAAGTTGAACTAGACCTTCACAAATATACTTCGGTTCTTCTCCACAATCATTAGAGTTCAGTGTCTTCCCCTTCTATTGTGCATTCCACTCTGCTGTCTGATACTACAGATACCATTCAGTAACACATCATTCTCTCCAATCCTTATTTACAAGGTACTTGCTACTTGATGTCAGACAGACACAGTCATTAAGTAGAGAAGTGTCCCAAACTAGCGAAACAGTCTTTCACAATAAGAAAAGAGACTATGATTAACCTAACTAGCACGTTTTTAACATCAGTCAGTTGTCATGAACAGAGTAAAACCCTTACAAAAGCTATGGACTTGACTCAATTAGCTCAGCAACATCCCAGACAGAACAGATACGCAGTTCTTAGAATCACATTTTAAAATGGCATCATCACAATGGTGAGACCAAGCCGCTGGGAAATACACGAAACATCTTAAGACTTCAATGTTTGGGGGCACTTCTAGAACTACAACATTTTGAAACACCCAATGGTTACAGGCTAAGAATAAAAAAGGATGTAGATAAGTATTGGGTCAGTCTCAGTAAAGGCCAAGGAAAACAACTTTTGGAAACCACTATTGTTTTCCTCTCTCAGCTAAAACTGTACATCAGCCCGTTGCACCTAGTATGTCTTTAAAAGATTATTAACACAAAGCATGACTCACTAGTAGGGGAAATGTCATTTACGCAAACATTGCACTAGTGGCACATACTAAGAAGTAGAACACATTCTTTGCCAAACACACCAACGCCTTCTGGGGTGCTGAGTTCATTTTCATACTGGTCCTCCAAAAAATTAATCCACTACTAATTACAGATTATCCAGTATAAACAAGTTTGTGATATTGCCTCCTCCAATACTGAAGCAAAACTACGCGAGGTTGAGAACTTCGTGGCACACTTGCACCTGCATACCTGTACACAATGCAACCAGCATCTTTACAACCAAGCCAGCTATAAACTACTTTCTCACCTGTGTTTTGGCTCTTTGCCATTGAAGGTGTAATCAGTTTAAGATCTTGACTTATTCACTGCATTATACATCAATCTTAGGGATGCCTTCCTATGCCTGGATTTTTGAAAATCAGACGTGGAACTGTTTTGAGCATTTACTAAAATACTAGAACTGTCACACCTGAGAATCAGAACTCTGCTAATCTCATTTCATCAATCATCATAACATGTTGTTCATCTGAGCATTGCTTGTAAGGTTTGGACTGGAGGTCATATTGAAAATAGGGAGGGTATGAATACTAGAAGAGGACATACAAATTAATAAAATAAATGGAAGTGAGCAAGCACAAAGTTAAAAGATAAAGGTGGTAAGAACAAGAGCTTACCCAACCCCACCTACTTATGTTATGTTACTTCCCAAAGTAAACATGGCATGAACCAAAACCAACCCAATACCACACCACCTGTTAAACGCACCCAATAGGCTTTAAAAAGTTGTCAACATAGGTAATACAAGGAATGCTGGAATGGAAGAATGGAATGCTAATATCCTCACAACATCAGAAAGCCTGTACGGCAACAGTCACAGAATACCTCTGCATGACAAAAGAAAAGTTGAACATACCTTGCCCAACTCTTTTAACAGCTTGAGGTTATTCTATAGTTTGATACTGGGTGAATTAAAGAGATACTTTCGAAGTATGGGTTTTCATAGACTTGTTGAATAAACTCTGAAGTAACCAAATAATTTTGCTTTCTGTAGCACTTAATTAACCCTTAAAAATTAGGGAGTATTATATAATAAAAGTGTATTAAAAATACTCTCCTCCCAACTTCATCAGTTTTATTTCCATGTATTTTGTAGTTAAAGATACAGTAGGCTGCCTAGAATTCACCTGTCTCCCACATAGCCTTGACTAAATAAATACTCACATGGTTTTTAAAATATAGCTTTTAATATTTCTCTATTGAAAGCATGCTTGTTTCTTGGAAATCTTGGATTAGATAGCTATCATTGTTCCCTCTCATTTTTAAGTAATTCCATGTGCTATTTTTGAAGTGTATACTTTGTTACATCTCTCCAAAAAAAAGAAATACAAGGATTTCATACCATTCCTATAGTTCTCCTGTATTTTGAGCATGAAAACAGTTGGAAAAGTTTAGTTTGCTGTACATATGCCTCGAAATGCACAAGATACTGCAAATCCTCTTACCTGAAGATAGTTACAAAAGATGGTTCTAGTTTCTGCAAGTGTTTTTAAAAGTTGGACTACGGTTACAAGATCCTGGATTACAAAATCTCAATTATATTAGCATTTAAACAGACATACACGTTAGGATTATTATTTTTTTTAAGTTGCTTTTAGCATCTGCCATCATAACAAAAAATGAAAAGGAAATTAAAAAACAACTTTACGCTTTTTACTTAAAAACCACATAAGAAATGCAATACAGAACATACTGTTGTTTTTTGTTTTGTTTTAAACAAACAATATATAGCATTAACATTACATATAAGCACAAAGCAGCAAATTTTTCCCTTTGTGATACTGCTCCAGCATTTGTTCAGCTCCTTGTAGATCTAGGACTACAACAGACAATATACAAAGAGATCAGCAGTTGAAAAATTGACTCAAACAGCATCTCTCAGAAGTTCTAGTCCTTTGAGTAACAAAAAATGGGATTCTTTGTGCTTGTTAAAAAGCTATTGTAAATTAATTCCCAACTTCCTTATGATTTACTTTTCTGCAGAAAATCACTTACATGAAGATAACACTATTTCTTAAGCTACCTAACAGAGCAGGTAACTACTGAATTTCCACAGGCAAAGGCTGACAGCCTTTCTTTCTCCTTATGAAGAAAAATCTTTGAAATTGTTGCTAAACACTGTGTTAAGGTTTTAAACTCAAGTAATGAGAACATCTGCAAGGCATTTTTTCCACCAAAATCAAGCCACAATCAAGGGAACCAGCCCTAGTACTATATTATAAAACTAGACTATTACAGCGGGCTCTCTTTCTCTATGCACCTTTCAACTCTAAAGACAGGTAAATAATATTTTTATTTAAAAAAAAAAAATCAATGCAAGCACATAAAAAGTTTACGGGCAATCCCTATCCCATTTTTTCTTAGGCAGACTTTTCTTTAGGTAGTACCTGGGCATTTTCTGCATTGATGGAATAAAGTTGAGTTTTTGAAAATAATGCATACTTGGGATCAGTGTGATCTTTTAAATACCTGTACTACAGTGTACTTCTACAGTGTTCTTTATGTATCTTTCCACTCCATTAACCATTAAAGACCTGCTTCCTATGGATTCAAGCCATCTCATCAGCATCACCCATCTTTGGGCTATGCCTCATTTGCAAAACATGGTCCTTAATGCTGTCTTGTGAAAACTGCTACGTCAAAGTTCACAGAATCCTTTAAGTTAGAAGCAACCTCTTGGGGATCATCTAGTCCAATACCCCTATGCAAGCATGATCAGCTAAAGCAGGTTGATCAGCACCGTGTCCAGGTGGGTTCTGAGTATCTCCAGAGATGGAGACTCCACAACCTCTCTTGGCAACATGTTCTGGTGTTTGACCACCCCCACGGTAAAAAAAAAAAAACAAGTGCTTCCTTGTGCTCAGATAGGATTTCCTGTGCTTTAGTTTATGTACACTGTCTCTTGCCCTGTTACTGGGTGCTATTGCAAAGTCTGGCTCCCTGTCTTCATTCCCTCCTTTAAGGTACTTATAAGACCCCCCAGAGCCTTCTTTTCTCCAGGCTGAGTTCCATCTCTCTCAGCCTCACTCCAGCAAGTCAGTATCTTTCTTCTGCTGGGGAGCCCACAACTGGACACGCTACTCCAGATGCAGCCTCATCACTGAGGAGCGGAGAAGGATCACCTCCCTTGACCTGCAGACAAAGCTTTCTAGCGCAGCTTAAGATACCATTGGCCTTGTTTGATGCAAAGACACACTGCTGGCTCATGTTCAGTTTGTTGTCTGTCAGGACCTCAGCCTTTTCTCAGCGACTCTGTTTTCCAGCCCTTCAGCTCCCAGGGTGTACTGGTTCCTGGACTTAACCCTCAGGAAGCAGGACTTTTTCTTCCTCACTGAACTTTCTTCTGTGTCCAGCTCTCTGGTCTGTCAAGGCCCCTCTGAATAGCAGCACAATCATATGGTGTTATCAACCACTCCTCCTGGTTCTGTGTGATCTGCAAATTTGCTGAGGGTGCATTCCATCCCCTCATCCAGACCTTTAATGAAAGTGTTGAATAGTATTGGCCCCAGTACTGAGCCCTGGAATATACCATTAGTGACTAACCTCCAAGCAGACTTTGTGCTACTGATTGCAACCCCGCTGCACCCATTCCTTCAGCCAGTTTTTAATCCAACTCTAGTGTCCACTTATCTAACCTGTACCTTGCCAGTTTGCCTTAAGTCAAAGTAAACAACACGGACTGTTTTCCCATAAACCACCAAGCTGGTCACCTCCCTGTAGAAAGCTATAGAGTTGGTCAAGCATGATTTTCCCTTTGTAAATCTATCTTGACTATGGACCTCCTTGTCCTTCATGCATTTTGAAATGCTTTCCAAGTGGATTTTCTCTATCACCTTTCCAGGAATCGAGGTGAAGCTGACTGGCTTTGTAGATCACCCATTTTCTTTCTTGTTCTTCTTGAAAATAGTCTACAGTCTCACAGTCTACAGGAACCTTTCCCAAATTCTACAACCAAAGGCAATTAATAGAGGCCTTGGAATGGTATTAGCCAGCTCCCTCAGCACTTCTGGGTGCAACCTGTCAGCCCTCATGAACTTCTGTACATCCAGTTTAAGAGCACCGTAGCTCAGTTCACCACCACTACTCTTCCTTGTTTCAGGCTTCCCATCAAAGTCTCAGGGGCTTGGGATTCCTGAAGCCTGATTTTACTGATAAAGGCTGAGGCAAAGAAGGCATTGAGTACCCAAGCCTTAGCCATGTCATTTATTACCCAGCTTCCCTGCTGCATTTGACGGCAGGCCAACATTTGCTGTTTATGTACTTGTAGAATCCTTTCTTGTTGTTCTGCCTGTAGCCTGAGGAACTATCCCATGGCAAATGGCTCCTTTCTCCTCAAGCTGCATGTTCTTAGCTCAACTTGCAATGTAGTCCTCTCACGTTCTTGGACAGTAAAGAATTTTTTTCACTTCACTGGGGGGCAGTTCAGGAGTCCAAGCTGATTTTCCCAGTCTATGCTTTGTGCAGTGGAAGGCAACATAACAAAATATTATCTTTTATATTTTGCAATTCCAAATATTTGTGCACATGTGTATTTCTACTACTATGTCCAATTTCCATATAAACAGGTAATGTCATAGATACAGTAGGGATATTATGAAATAAAGTACTCGGACGCTCAAGTACTTCATCAGAAGTATGCATTGACTTTGTAAAAACTGACTACACTTTACATTAAGCAAAATACTGAATAAACTTTTCTGATTAGGAAGATCTAAAATAAAATGAGTGGTTTTCCCTGTAAATTATACTGCAGAAGTCATCCGTGACTTGTACTTAACCCTTTTCTTCTCATGCAGCATTAGAGTATTTCCCCCCACCCATCCCATAAACAAAAAAAACAAATATTCCACTAGTTGTTACAGATTGCACTTTTAAAGCACAGACTTGCCAGTCTTCTGCATTTCCAGTGTCCTGTTTAAACAGTTGACATAGTCTTCATTTTATGAAACTGGAAGATTTCGCCTAAGTACTTCTTTTGATGCTGGAGAAATGTTATCTGGGAAAACTACTTCAAACTCTATAATTAAGTCTCCACGTTGGTCAGGATTTTTGGGAAATGGCAAACCATATCCTATAATTCTTCGTCTCATCCCTGGCTTTACAACTTCATTTACTGTCATAGGTATGGTTCTTCCTTCTATTGTTGGCACGTTGATAGAGCTGCCACACAAGGCCTAAAAAAAAAAAAAAAAATCTATCATAAGAAAAAAGAATTGGTTATAACTTCGATTGTACCTACAACTGAATCTGGATTAATTACAAAACACTAGCATTGCAAGGAGTATTTGCAGTAAGACATGCAGAGATATCAGAACTCTAATAGTGCTCCTATCCTAAGGAGACAAGGTTTCAATTTATCATTGAATGTTACAGAATTTACAGGCTTATGGTCACTAGAGAGTAATTGAGCTTATATATTCTTCCACAACTTTATCAAAGAGAATGGTAACAGAGTACAGGGTGAAAACACTGCTTGCCACTGTTTTCAAGTCTTTAGTAGCAAGTCTCCACAGAGACTTCTCAATCTCCACTGCAAATTTAGAATCCTGTTCCATTTTTATTTGTTTACGTTGCATGGGGGTTTACTGTAACACTTTATCAACCTGTATTACAAATGGCAGAATGACATTTAAATGTCTATAAGAGACATCAAATTTGAGAGTTGTCTTAAATAAGCATTTGCAATGCTAAAAGCAAAGCAAAGACTATTTTGGTACACCAAAATAAAAACATCACCAGGAAAACCAGGCTGTCTCCTGCTCTACTCAATGGTTTGTTTACATTAATTACTAGGATCCGTGATAGACATTGATTCCTCCAAGTTATATAACAGTGCAGTATAGCTAAATAGGCTTTTATCTATGAAGGAACTGTACTATTCATGTCATCATTAAACATTGTCTTTTCTCTCTCACTGACCCTATTTTAAGTGCTTCATCTCATTTCAGATATATTTTTAGCTAGGAATCCTTTAAGAAGGGAGCTCATAATATGCACAAATAGTTCCTAAGGCAAGCTTGCTTCTTCACCTAATGCTAATTAAGAAAAAAACACAAGACACACTCAGCTACATTCATTTTTCAGTTATGACTATTTCAAGCCTTCAGACTCTGAAGAACTCTCCCCAGTTGTCCAATTTTTCCTTCTCAAAGCCAGTGTGTTTTGTTCTTGGAACAGAATTTAAAAAGGCTATAGCATTCTGTTGTTATATATAGCTCCTATGACACCTGTTCACAATAATTTATCCTCATGAAATCAATCTCTACCTACTTTGAAATCACACTGAGATAACTTATGACATAAAAAGACAGGCTTAAATATTTTCATTGCCAACGAATTTTAAGACATTTCTACTTTGTTCTATTGCAATCAGATCACATAAGCAAGGAGCATGCTATATTGGATGTATTTATTAATCCAACCTAACATATATTGTTCTAGAAAGGTAAATTACAAAGATTCAAACCATTACCAACTTTCACTTTTACCCTTTCACCCTCATTCTTCTCTACCTCTATAAACAGCTTGAAATAGTGCTCCATTTATATAGAAACAGCTAGTGTTTCCACTATAAATAACTATACTCTGTAGCCACATTTTGACTTCAGAAAAGAGATGCTCTCTAAAAAAAATGAACAAACAAAACACTTCATTGCTGTCATTTAGCTTTTGCTGTGTAGCTACTATACCACATAATGGGTTTGAACACTGAGTTACACCAGAAGAGACACTTACCTCCCTTAAGCTGATCTTAACAGGATAGATAATATTTGATCCATCTCTCTTGAAATGTGAGTGAGGTTTATCTTTAATGATGAAAACAATATCAGCTGGAATTGTGTTGGGTGTTTCATCACCTTCTTTTGGAAAAGTGATTTTAGTGCCTTCTTTCCATCCTCTTTTTATCTCAATAGTGAGAATTTTGTCCTCTGTTCGGACACTTCTACCATCTGGGTTCAGCCTTTTACGTGAAATCCTCATCCTTTTTGTGCAGCCATGATATATCTCTTCCAATGATACCTTAAGTTCATGAATTACAGGTGGATCTTGTTTACGACGTAATTGGCTACCAACTGTATTCCTTTCCCTTGGAAAACCATTCATACTAAAGCTGGTGAAGGATCCAAATGGATCACCATCCACCTCCATGTCTTCAGTATCTCTGCCACCAGGCATCCTCCTTCCAAAGAAGATCTCAAAAGGATTTGTGCCACCAAAGAAAGCCGCAAACGTAGCATGTGGGTCACCGTGGAAGGAGTATCGGAAGGTACCACCCTGTCCATCAGGTCCTCCAGCTCCTCCCTTCAGACCTAAATTAAACAAGGAAGTAAAATTTTAACAATAAATGGAATATTAATATAAGTTTTCTTTTTTAAGTGCAACAGTAGATATCAGAACTGACAAGACAATGTCTTCACAGTAGAGTGAAAAGACTCCTCTTCAATGAGAATTGAGACCATTCAGTGTCAAGCAGTAATTCATACACAATGTTTCTCATATGCTCCACAGTTCTACTCAAATCCAGCGTTGAACAGCTCTACCTCTGTTTTCCTGCAATTCAGTTTGAGAATAAAGTAATATAATGGGCCAGCAGCTGTAATGCTTGTTTAATTTTCAACTCAGAATCCCAAACTTATCGCAGCTTGTGGTGCTACGATATGAAGCGCAGAAGAAACTTAGGAACACCTTTCCATCCAGCCACAAATAAAAATAGCTTAAACGTTCTTAAGACCTACAAAAATACTGTATATACACTGACACTGTATCTGTGTTATGGTGTTCTCAAATAACTCTCTATCTTCACCAAGAAGATATTTACATTTAACTTTTTCTTGATAAGACTTCCCTTATGATTCTCAATGTCTGGTCTTTCATACTTCCTCCTCCCCCATCCTAAACCCAGCTAAAATCAGTTTCAAATACCCCTCCCAACAGGTTCTCTACCTATTTCCTCCACCTAGATAGTACATTGCAGCATTTCAGAACACCAGAACACTCTCTCAAACCTCTAAGATTAAAAAAAATGAAGTTTTCGTAAGAGATGAATTTCTAAACTCATGTTTGGCTTTTTTTTTTTTTAATTTTAACTTATTTTTCCTTTCACAGGAGCTCAGCACTACACCTACAATAAAATTTGAGGGTTTTAATTTTACAGAAGCATTCATTCCCTGAATTTGAAATAAGTCTTCTTACCTGCATTTTAGAATCTCTATGTACAACCTTAATACTAGTTATCAACAGTAACCAAGACAGATGTTAAAAATCCAGGTGTCTTCCCCACCTCAGTACCAGATCCTTTTAAAAGTACTTAGCAATGTGTAGTAGTACATCCTTGCGTCACAATACTGTTCACATCAAACAACCAGATCAGTGGATCCAATCTGTGATAATGGAATAACACCTCCAAGAATAGCTAGCCATAAGTTTTTATTGAAGGTACATCAAGTTTCTAGTTATAAGAAACGCTGAGGTTTCCTCCTTCCTCTTTCCTACCCCTCTACCTTTCCCTCAGAACTGCTAATTATACTCTCAGAAGCAACGGAAAAGCTTACAGAACAACTGAGTCATCAAGACATTTCTGGAAGTGGATACAATTAATATTATGCCCAAAATAAATAGAAATCTATATTTTGAGCATCTAGATTCAAGTATGCAACACTATAATGCTAAAGGCTGCATTGCTTTATGTTTTACATCAAGCTGTCTGGAGAAAATGTCAAAAATGGCATTTTGGGAAAGTAGTTAGGATGAGCTACTGCACAAGAATCTAAATTGTAATTGAATCCACAAGGTAAGCAGTTTTATAATAATACACAGAAAGGAAACCACAGAAGAAAGAAGTACAAGATGGTAAAAGACCCAGGTGACAACAGCAGCAGAACAGAAAGCTGAAAAACTGCATCACCTGTAAGAGCTGAAGACCTTCTACATGAACTGATGGGCATTAATAATTGTATTAAGTCCTACAGATGACGAAGTGCCAAACCTCACTATAAGAACCCACAATTTCCAGCACAAAAATCCTCCTAAGTGTCCTCGGTTAATTTAAAAAAAAAAAAAAAAAAAAAACAAACAAACAAAAAAAAAAGCCCTGAGCAAATGGCAATGAATGAGTGGGCCTCCTTGTTAACACAGAAGGAACTATTTCATCTGGAACTTCTGATACCAATACATTTAAGAGGAGGGTTGTTAACATCTTCCCCTGTTGCTCAATCCTCTTATGACTGAGGCAAAGTCATGTCGGTCAAAAAAAAAAAGTCATCTTCTCCAGATAACCATTTTAGGATAAAATGACATTTCTGAGGCCTCATTCTCTTGGCATGTTATCACTGTTTACAATTAAAGCTAAAAAATTGTTCTGGTATTTCATGACATCAGCCAAATTCTTTCCTCTCCAGGCAAGAAGCCAAGAACAACTACAAACTGGACACCTGGGCTTCTGCTCAGGGCTGCCCTGCCGAGATCAAGCAGACTGCCCTTTACCAAAAATCTTAAAAAAGAATCTGTCAAGCTCTCCAATTGCACCTCAAGAAGTGTTAGAGCAAGGGAAGACAACGGTACAGCAAGATCCCAGAAAACTCTTCGTGGGTCAAACTCTTTCAGTCCAGTGACTTTTTGCCTGTCAAGTATTTGGGGCTTTTAAAAACACAAGAACACATTAACATAAGAAATTAAAACTAATTAAGCTGTGAAATACATTTTACATTAAAAATCTAATAGAAATGAGTCAAATATCAAAGTAGTACAGCTACATTGCCAAAAACTCAATACACTGCATTTCCATGCATCGTCTACATTTATTTTGCTTCTTTCAGTACAGCAAAAGTGACCATTCACAGACAATAACAGACATACATACCTTCTTCTCCAAACTGATCATAAATGTCTCTCTTTTTGGGATCACTCAGCACTTCATAAGCTTCTGCAATCTCTTTGAATTTTTCCTCTGCGTGGGGAGATTTGTTCTTATCTGGATGCCATTTAAGGGCTTGTTTTCTGTAAGCCTTTTTGATATCCTCATCAGAAGCCCCTTTTTCAATTCCCAGAATAGAATAATAATCCTTCCCCATCCTGAGAGTTGAAGGAATTTAGATTTTCCTTGCTATAAAGAAACCAGTATCCAGTGTCTCAGCAATGTAGAGATGCTAGAGAAGGAAAAATAAAGACAAAATTTGGAAATGAAACAAACAGAACAAAAATCAACAAACTGATATGTTAAAGAAACGCTAGACAGCTTAGCCGTATTTCATTCCTTCCCCTGTTGCTCATTTATAAATAATTATACACACAGGATAAGGCACAGCCCTCTTCAGAGTCCTCCCCTCTCCACTACGTGTCTTGGCTCTTTCTAGAACGACAAATAGTGCAGGACGTCACTTCCCCAGACTGCCCCCGCTGAACAGTCAGCACAACTTGCTTGCTCTCAAGTGCACACACACACGCGTGCAAGTTGTTCAACTATTTCCTCCCTCCTGCTCGAGCAACTAGAAAGTTTAAATGTTCAACAGGGTGATACAGTGCCTTTCACCAACAGAGCTGAATCTACCCTGGTTTAAAGACATAACTACCCCAAAAGTAATTCAGTAGCCCATACAAAATAATTATAGCATTTTACTTCAGTTTCTGTAGAGACAGCTGTACATACAACTGCTTTCCGAATGTATCATCAACATGGATTTGTATCCTTTCTAGCAAGGACTGCAAAATATTTTACACCCAAGTTAACTACAAAGCTTTAGAAAGGCTAACTGCATTTCTTTAAAAAATAAAATTAAGCTGCTATCAGCTGCAGTTGACTGCAGCCAAGTACTATTAAACAGTAAGAAATCAAACCTGAGGGGAAGAAGACAACCAAATGATGATTTACCACAACTCAAGCCACTCAAAGCAAACCAAATATGGTTGTTTTGTTGATTTTACCCCTCACTCTACACAGAGGTAGCATTGAGACTGTTATACAAGTATAACAGCATATCAAGGAAATACTAACATCTCATCAGGTGAATGCTAACAGAGGACAACTTGATGTCTATAAATTTGAACTCCATATTGTAAATCAAATGCAAGTGAAATTTAAGTATTTAAGTTCAAATTTAAGTATTTAAGTGTTTCTGATGCTCTGCAGAGAGAATGGCAACAAGCTTCAACCTGTAAGACTTCTTTTGGTTCTTATTTAAGAAATTATCTTCGCTTTTCAGTACTGCAATAAAACTTCAAGATTAGCATAACTTGGTAAATGCTCCTTCCTGGAACAAAATATTACAAGAAGCCAATTTTAGTCATACTTAGAAATTACCTGTAAGATGACATCTCTTAGACTCAATCATCTTCCTTATAATGCTACAAAGCTTAAGAAAGGGAGCATATAGCAGCTAAAGGACCATCAAACTCTAGAAGAGAACGCAACTTTTGATTTAGGAAGCATTATATTTGAAGTTTGTTTCCAGAAACTGCTCTGCTAGGGGACTAACCAGAAAAGATGGAAAATTTTGTCTAAACCAGACTGTTACAAAGAGAGATTCCCTCCTCTCTCCACTATGTACAATCACCCTATTCCCCACATCATATTTACTCTCTTCCACTTCCTGTACTAGAATTGACCAGACTCCTAGTACCTGGGATTTGCCTTTTTTCTTAATCCCCTTGGAATACAAGTGAGGATGAAGACAGAACAGTACAAAGATGAGGTTTCTTCACTATTTGAAAGAGCTTGAATTTGGCATACCTATAATTATTTCAAATCCAACATAGGAATATAGGAATAAGGTTGAATGCTGGAACCCTTTGTCACCAAATCTTTAAGGACTGATTTACATTTTTGGAACTCTGGGAGCCACAAGGTTATAGAATCCATTCTTTTAACAGCTGAAGGAAGAGGTTGTCATTAAGCTCCACAAGGAGCTAGGCTTTTACCAGTTACCCATTTCTTTCTATCTTTCTTTAAAATGTACTGGTTTGGGTAATTTACTATTCCAATAACTTCTCGTAGACTCACATCCTAAATTCAGTGTTTTTCCACTAACAAAACCTTAAAGCAGTAGGTGCAATAGCTTGAATTAAAACAGGACTTGAACTGATTTAATTTAAAATACATTATTATTCTCTAAGAAGCTACTTTACTTGCAAGTATGACAAACCACTATCCAAACCCAACAGTCACTAACTCTGAACTACAACAGCAAACAAACTTCATCACTATTAATACAAGATTTAGAGCAGCCTTAAATTCTCTTGCAAAACTAGTAGTGCAAGGAGTTACAATGCTTAGCTGTGCTTCCATCACACAGCAATCTCCAGCAAGGTCAGGTCTTATATCACTTGAAGTACTCCCACCAAGAGTCTGAGAAGGACCCTGTACTATTTGTGTCACAGTGTTGATGCATCATAGAGCTGTCAGAACAGGAACGCCTCATATTAGTCTCAGGACTATTTTTCATTAGGTTTTTCAAAACTTCCAGTCAATGGAAGTGGAAGAAGGTATATATGCTAGTTTGAAAATAATATTTTCCCCATTGAAAATATTAAGTAGCTATCAAAAGAATATCCAAGGAGTTGCAATTAAAAAGGGTATGGAGGGGACTTTTTAAGACATAATAATTAACTTCCTAGGTTTCACTGAAGAACATAATAGTCAGGATTGCTCCTTAAATCAAAACTTTCTTCCACTCAAGTGTCAAAACTTTAAAAAGTTACACTGGGACTTTTTGCTGACAGTCAGTGAGTAAAAGCTCAGGCATCCTTTCTCTCCTTGCAGAGGGGAACATGCTATTCTGGTGCTGATGCCAAGTTATACCCTAATTAGGTAAGTTATTCCCTAAAAATGAAAAGCCTTAAGATTCTGAGTAAGGTCCACAGTAACAACTACGCTATTTCTACTTTCTGCCCTGCAGGAGATCTTCGCAGCAGAATTAATTCACAGCTTACAACCTCATATTTTCTAAAAGTTGATGGGTTAACTGGAACACCTGCTTTCAGGAAGTATGTTCCTGCTTTCTCTCCATAGCAAGACCTTCCTTTTATCATACAATCAGAGATTATAGATAGACTGCAGTACCTCTCACATGTTTATCAAGTTCTTTAAACAAATTGTAATATAAATTGTGGCATACGTGTCTTTCATAATCAGTGGAACAACTAAAATTGTTTCAACCCCAGAATGCACAAGTTGAGTATCTAGCAATCACACTAAGACTGGCACTTCTTCAGATATCCATTCGGTAAATACGCTAAGTTTTTACATCTTCCAGTCTTCGAGTATTACAGCAGTTTCAAGGACAGATAAAATCACAACTGGTAGGTTTTTAAAACTCTGAATCTTCATTGTTCATTTTGTTATTTAACCCACATTCCCCTTCAAAAGTTATTAACATGAAAACAAAATCCTTCATGCACTGTCCACAAGAACTCCTGACCCTGCAGTCCTTTCAAATAAACACACATGACCAGAAAACAAGACACCTATCAAGAACTATATATTTCATGTTATTGCTATAGTCTAACCCTGCCTGCTACCGTATACATAGAATCAGAAGCATTTAAAAAAAAGCTGACTGTGGAAAGATCGTGCTTCCCATATGTTTGAGTAAGTTTTGTGTTGTTGTTGCTTTGTTTTTGTTTTTAATGCCTGAATGAGTATTCTCTATAAAACAAGAGATAAGGTCATCACCTAGGGTGGGACAACTGAATTCATTTATGGAATCATTTTATTCTTTACAAATTCCTGCATTTCCACTTCCTTTGCAGTAGTATTTAGAACCATCATAGGGTATTTTGTCAGTAAGTGCATTTCAGTCACCTCTTCAGATGTCGACGCTTTGTGGCCAAGTACCAGAAGCTAAGTGCACTACAAGCATACCTGCTCATGCACACAATTTTAGTTGTGGCATGCTGGTATGCATGCTCAGCCTCTACTTGGACTTTTATTTGAATTTTTACTTAAAGGAGGGATGGTTGCTGTAATCTAATTTGTTTAACGAGCATTAACAGTACACAACCTGATAGATCCCATGTAGCCAAGCCTGGTCGCAGCTTCCTTTATGTGACAAGCCAGCAGCATTGCATCCTGCAACTTACCAAAGCCTTCTAGAAGCAAGCTGCTAATCTGAGTATCTATAAATTAGTAAAGCCATAATTGAAAACTCGAATTTGGAGTGCTCCTAAATGAGTGCTAAGCAAATGCTCATACATAAAACTCCAGTAATGGGGTGGAGTCACAGCAAAGTGCAAATATGTAATAAATTAAATCCACCAGTTAGTTACCATTCTTCTTCATCCTACCACATCCACTCTTCTGATTGATATACACCAGTAAGAATCAAGTCTCCACCTGTTTACAGTCATACACAACAACTGCATTCCAGTACTGTACTATCAAGTAGAGTCTATAAAGCTGTTGCTTTTACTTTGGCAGAAAATGGGTTTACAGAATTAATTGTGTTCACTGTTCACAATAGTATGAGACAAACTGAAATTGAAGAGTTTAAACACTGGTAGAACAACAACTTCCTCCCAAGCACCTGATCCCATGGTGGGGGAAGGAACGGAAATAACAGAATATTCCAGATGCCTGTGCTGTATGATATCTCACATTACAGAAGCACGTGAAACATGGCTTACATGATGAAAGAATCCCAGCTTTCTGAAAATATTACTCAGTCCACCTCACATCCATATCCTTTCAGGGGGTATGTTACTTGGTAGACACAAATGAAAAGCATACTTCTGCAGACATCCTCTATACCAATAGTCCCATTCTTTAATCTAAAGCATACGTACAGACCAAGTATCAGTAATGTTTAACCATCTGATTCTTGTAGGATAAAGTGGAAAAAAAATCAATGTAGTGGAGATGTTTTAAGACACATAACCAGAGCTGCAATCTATATAAGTCTGCTTCTGATGCTGTGTGCCATGCTGAAGCATTAAAACACTAAGCGAAGATGTTACCCAGCTGTTTATCTACAAGACATGCCTAACAAAGATCATATCTTCTCTACAACATATCACTGAAAATGTTATATTTAATTTTAATTAAAGTCCACATACACTTTCCTGCTTTTTCTAAATTCTACTAGAATATTGATCTAAATGCCCTGATCACCAAAAGGCACGAGAGTCTCATGCCTCATCCCTTAACTCCGGAAGA